CATGCCACATTATATTATAATCAGACTAAAACTGTATTTGGAGTAGCATTTTGAGAGTATTTAACAGAAATTTCTATTTTTAGTAACCAAGGCAATAGTGTTCATCGAAGTCTTTTTTTCTATTTTTAGTGACCACGGCAACACCATCTATTAAAATCAAAAACCGATACACAGAATTATGTACCTTAGTATAGTCTACTTGTGTGCCAAGTTATACTGAAGTCAGACCAAAACTGTAGAGGACGTAGCATTTTGAAAGAATTTCACAGAAATTTCTATTTTTTAGTATCAACGGCAACACCTATCATCAAAATTGAAAACCGATACACAGAATTATGTATCTTAGTGTAGTCTACTTATGTGACAAGTTATATTGAAATCAGACCAAAACTGTAGGAGGAGTAGCATTTTGAAAGAATTTCACAGAAATTTCTATTTTTAGTATCAACGGCAACACCTTTCATCAAAATTGAAAACCGATAAACAGAATTATGTATCTTAGTGTAGTCTACTTGTGTGACAAGTTATACTGAAATCAGACCAAAACTGTAGGAGGAGTAGCATGTTAAAAGAATTTCACAGAAATTTCTATTTTTGGTAACAACGGCAACACCGTTCATCAAAATCAAAAACCGATAAACAGAATTATGTATCTTAGTGTAATCTACTTGTGTGCCAAGTTATACTGAAATTAGACCAAAACTGTAGGAGGAGTAGCATTTTGAAAGAATTTCATAGAAATTTCTATTTTTAGTAACCATGGCAAATGTTTCCAAATTGTAGAATTATGTAAAAGTCTTCTTGTGTGCCAAGATATATTGAAATACAAAACTGTAGGAGGAGTAGCATTTTGAAAAATTGTTTACAGACAGACGGACGGACGCCGGACGCATAACCATCGCATAAGCTCTTCTGGTCTCTGACCAGTAGAGCTAAAAATGAGATCGATGATAAATTCTATCCAAAATGTTTATGTAAGTAAAATTAAGATTACATTTAGCATGTTTAGATTAATACAGATGGTTGCAGGAAGTCGAATTTTAAATAACAAAGTTTACATTTGTTTTTAATAATTGGCAATTCTTTAAATTGTGCATCATTTTTACATCGTTAGATTGTTTAACAGCAAAATTACTCCATTAAAACCATTTGGATATACACACGAGTACTCTGAATTTGACATTAAAATGATGCTGCCCAGACTCTTGGAATTCTTATCGGCACTAATTTTGCTCGTTTATTAGCTGACATGTTTTTATATTACTATTAAGCAGAATTTATTCAAAAACTCTTTGGGGGAAACACTAGCATTTAGATCTTTTACTGCCTATAGACGATAAATACCAAGGAACAACTGAATTGTATGACAAGCGAGCTGACTTTAGCTTTTCCTTCGTTAACTTGACTTATTTACAAAGCAGCTGTTTAGTTATGGATATCAAACGAAAGCAGTTTGATTAAATGCCATCAGCTTTGTACAATACAAGTTATTGCACGGCTATTGGCAGTATAAACACACAGAGCTAACAAACATTGATTATTTTACGATCTCTTTGGGTTCAACAAATCATCTCACATGTAGCTAGACTTTCTTACCAATGAAAAGTCAGAACCTACCAATGTTCTTGGAAACTATCTTTGTAAATTCTCTAAAGCGGTCTTATTTCTTGATTCCGTTTTATCTAAAATACTTTTGTAATAACACCCACTGACTAACAGACCCTCCTAAAAAGTTATGATTTCTCATGTTAGTTTCAATGAGTAATCTACAATTGATCAAAGCTATAATTATTGCATCATTACATTATTTGTGTTTCTATTGTGATGTTTTATATAAATTATGGTATGTTACAAAAATGGAAAAAGTCTAAATTATCACATTTGTTAAAGAACCACATCAAAAACAATATCACAAATGTGAACAGGGTATATTATACACAGACTTAGGTAAACGGAATATCCCGTATTCAAACTACTGTGCATAAAACGAAGGTCTAAAAATGGTATGCAAAACGCCAGCCAAAATACGACCCGATAATATGTTACATTTGTTAATAAGTGCATCATAACGAACATCGAATTGAAAAAATACTGACTATAATCGATATAAGTTGCAGAGATCGCTGTGATATAAAATTGCGTACGAATAGACTACTTCAATTCGGTTTTAAAATTGATCGTACTCAGAGTGTTGAATATGTTGGAAAACATAAACCCAGGATGGATAAACATAAAAAAGCTAGAATAATTTCGCTTGTCATACATTTTAGTTGGAAGTTGGTCCTAATCATCTGTGGTCTTTGTATTTTATTTGAACCGGAGACATTACATCTCATAGGTGGTCAGCAAAATGTCCAAAGATGAAAGAGCTGTAGTGTACTTTGGGTGAGTTAATTTTAAGTTAATTGGGATACATGGAGTCGTCGACAAATCAGAGACGTTACTGTACTGTATAACTGGTAACACGTCTTCAGTTATTTTTTGTATCGAGTTGATAGATACAGTGTTTTCTTTTCAGTTAGAAGTTTTAAAATGAATTTTGCTTCATTTGAATTTAAGAACAAGAAGCCAACAAAAGAATTGGTAGACATTATATAGGAAAGCTATGTGCGTTGGAAGGAATTACGTTTAGAAGACTTGTTCTCCAAAGACAACTTATATTTTGTGAGTGAGGAATTCCAGCATCACTAATATCAACTTCAGAGTACCTTTGCGTAGAATCGGAGTGTTTTTGCAGTTATTTTGTTGATTACAACTAACAAGATTCCAAAATTTTCGAATTCAATTTTTGTTGAGAAAGACTTCTATAATGTCAGAAAGAATAATATTTAATTAATCGTGTAGAATGTTTCAACTGAACGAAGCAAAGGAGCAAGGAAATTTAACATTGAACTTATCTCAAACTATTTATTGACGTTGTGGCAAATAAGGATACACTGAAAGAAGACAATGTCAGTGGAAACTAAATAACTAAATAAATGTCATTTAACTAAATGCTGTCTATGAAACATTGTGTTGCCCGCATGACACAGTCTCTGAAGTTGCAAAGTAAGGAGTTGATCTCTACGTTGAGGGTTTGAAATCCACGTGGAGACCAGGTCCGAAAGAAACAGTAAAAACCGAGGTTCGTGTCGCGGTAGGTGTTGCCAGAAAAAAATCTGCCACTGCTCAAATGTCGTTACTGCTGAGTACTGGTTAAAATTTGAAGCCCTCCATCAGCATACGTTGTTGTCTCAATATGAGTGAAAAATTCATGAAGGGACATTATGCATTGAGTATATGGAAATAACGAACATACAATCAAATAAAATGTACATTCTACTGCTTTTGGAACTTTGAAGAATAAACCTTCAACTTATTTTTTCCCTGAGCATGAAAATTCATTTGAAATTCATAAAGATGCTAGCAGTTTGAGAATCAGAGCGAGACAAAACAATAAACCTTATTCCTGTCTGATGACCTGGAGTTGCAGTTTCACATCGGGAACTGAAAGAGTCTGTGAAAATGTAAAATTTGGAAAGGAATAGGAGGCGAAAATAAAGATCAGATCGATCTAAAAAAAAACTATAAACAATACAAATCTGTAAAAAAGACTCCACAAAACACGGGACTGCAATTCCAGCGGTGGGATAGGGTGTCTAGGAAGAGTGAGCATCTCCTGTTGACAACTCACCTATGAATTCATCAAGGATTATACATACCGTTGTAAAAGACTAGACTAGAAAAACAAAGACCTGAGTAGGTCAGTGATAAAACAGCCGAGTCCAGCTATTCCTGTTTGTTCAATGAAGAAGTAGAATGATTAAATAATGGAAGGATCACTACAAAGAAATCTTTAATTCCTATCGTATTCCTCTCAGAGGTTAATACTGATTCCAGAAAGTTTTCAACACATTCAAAAAGGAAAAAAAAAGCAAATCCAAAGCCTAGAGCAAAATCTAAAGCCATAATCCAAATAAGTTTATCATCAGAAGATGGTTCAGATGATATCATTGTTATTGGGGATTGTCTGTCGTCTCAAGTCATGACAAAGAGGTTCAGTTTTCTACAGAAAATAATGATACAAAGAAAAGAAGCGCTTGATACATAAACTGATGAGATAGTAAAAACACCAGTGTTGAAGAACGCATTGAAGATACATGTACTAGGTCTGTTGTAGATAAGAAAATCGTTAAAGATATTGATGGAGAGATTTTTCAAGATGAATAGCTACAAGATTCCATGGCTAATTAAGAGAATACAAATGCTGAAGGTGAAACTGAAAATTGATTCTTCAATAAAAGGTGACATTGAAGTTAAAGCTGAGCCAAGGAAGTTGATTCTTCAATCAAAGCTGACATTGAAAGTATACGATGAAAAGGGAAATAGTCCCCAGGCGTTCAATAAGAAACAAAAAAAAACAAGAGGCCCATGGGCCACATCGCTCACCTTAGTAACGTTGGTGCTGCCGTTCAACCAGTAATACCTAGTGGTCCTACACAAAAAACAAGAAGAATTTGAATATGCTTCCACTGGACTGGCCCAGTGGTGGAAGATTTTAAAAGTTTTTCTATATATTCCTATGTAAAACTTGGACACACCAAATTGTTGAAACAGAAAAGAGATTATGCTATTTAGATTTTTTAATGACCCTACCCTATTTTTGATTATGTTTGGATATTGGTAATTTAATAATTTAAACTCCCCTTTGCCTAAGGATGCTTCGTACCAAGTTTGGTTAAAATTAGCCCAGTGGTTCTTAAGAAGAAGTAAAAAATGTGAAAGGTTAACAAACGGACGGACGGACAGACAGACGGAAGGACCACGGACAAAATGTGATCAAAAAAGCTCAGAGATTTGAATAAATCCGAATCTTCATTATCTACTGATAAAATTGTTGAAAGAGAATATATGTAGATTAGATACATGAATATATTGTAAATGTAAATCAAGAGAAATTTCAAAATCCTAGATATATGAGAATATATAGGAAACAGGAACAAAAACATACAAAACGAATGTATCTTATAAAATTTTAATGTTATAAATATAGAAAAATAAAACTCACATCCAAACAAGAGGGAAACACTGGAGAATAGCACTGACACAATGATATAAATGTACACATTTTATTTACAACTGCACAATGCTGACTTAAAAAGATGAATTTGTGTCTGTTTTTCCTTCCACACAAAACTTTCATCCGCGTCTGAATTGATTATGTTTGATCTACACCTAAATTCGAGATGATAGATCAGAATATCTATGTCGTCGATTCGCCGGGTGTGTGTGCTTGAAACCCGGCATAGTTTGGATTTCCTAAACCTTTCGTTTTATTTTCCTTTGGTTTTGAGAAAGTAGCTTTCAGTTTAGACAGAGTTACCCTCCCTGTCGAGTCGGAAGCGGAAGTTGAGGCCCCGGCTTCATTAGTTTCGGTGACCTCACTATCCACGAGCACAGTTTTCATTCCGTCATCACGTCTCCTTGTGTGATACCAATAACAACCACTAAGAATCGCTAGAATTGTCACAAGTAGAAGAATTATAGGGACTGTCACAGCCATTACTACTGAACTATCACTCTCACTCACAGACTGTGGCTCCGAGGTCTTTAACAAACCTGAAAATATTTAACATTTCATGAAAATTTACATTGAGAAGAAAAAGGTTTGAGCAGATATAAACAGATTCTTCTGTTGAAAACTGGAGGAAAATAAAAGAGAAGACACAAACCTGAACAAATAACGCCGGCATCCTCTCCGTGATTACAGTTCTGTATGTTTATGCCGTTATGACGACATTTGTGAATTCCCTCCTCGGTTCCAACACAGTCCACATTGTCCAACCATATTGGACCCGATCCACGCCCAAACACACCTCGTTTTTTCTTAATTCCATTCTCATAACCCAGACTTTGGCAGACGACAGTAGCATCACGGTCGTCCCAGTAGTCATCACACACGGTTCCCCACTCATTGGGTCCAGCAACAAACACCTCCACGCGACCCATGTTCTCCTCACCAGCGGTGGAACCTGCCAACCTTACTTTCGTAATTTCTGTGAACATTAAGTATAATTTATGAGTTTTTTACAAAGATACCTCTTTTTATGAATTTAACATATACAGTAAACATAACCGTCTCTTACTTTAAGTGAAAACAGATGTACATTGTAGAGGGTATTCGTTATTTGAACGCAACTTACCGACTTTTTCTCTGAAGCACCAGGCTGCTGCATCTCTCGTTCGCCTTCTACAGAGTCGTTCGTATGTTGACTCGACCTTACCCGAACTATTAAAGCCCGAGTGGTCACATTTCATCAGCTCATCCTCTTCACCAGTGCATCCTACTCGGGTAAACCATAGCACATCGTCAGGGTTACCAAATTGTCCACCTTCAATCTCAATGCCATCAGCGTAACCTGTAAACATTGTATGAAACCTAACATATTTATATGGATTGAATTTATGTGATCCAGCGCTTCGAAACTACTGTAAATCATTTTTTATTCGCGAGAACTTTATTTTCGCGTAATTACGCGAGACAGTGTGCTCGCGAAAATTTAATTCTCGCGTATAATAGTATTTCTTAAGATTATATAGCGCAATAACCACAATTCGTGAAAATTTTGTCTCGCTAATCAAGAGTCAATGACGATCTCGCGAAAATAAGATGTCGTGAAAATTTAGTGATCTACAGTATTCAATGTACAACTCTTATAGTTCTTAAAAATACCATCCAAAGCAATTTCTATATTGTTGCTTTCAAACGCATATCATTAAGCAGAATCTGACCTAAGTTTTTGCAGAACACAGATGCATCCCTGGAGTCCCACAGGAAGTTACAGATGCCTCCCGTCTTCCCATCATATACAATCTCAGCACGCCCTCTGTCGGCGTGGGAAGAGTTTCTTAATCGGTATTGAATGCCATCTATAAAGAACAAATTCCTTGAAAATCAAACCCATCAATCTTAGTTTTCTATAGTTTTCACTCTATCAATTCATGTTTCTTAGTAAATATGCTGTTATATTCATTTTCTTTGAGAAGACTCGTGCTGTATTACAGAAACCCAATAGTGCAAACCAAAAATAAATGAAAAAAAACGAAATTATTAAATAAATAATTTCGTTTTTCTTTCTTTAATAATTTCGTTTTTCTTTCTTTAATAATTTCGTTTTTCTTTATTTATTTTTGGTTTGCACTATTGGGTTTCTGTACGTGCTTGCATCAACTTACTTTGTTGTGTGAAGCAGAGAACTCCAGCTCGGTTGTCGCCGTAGGTACAGCTGCTCCCCTGATACCACTCGTTATATTTACACTCCTTCAGACTGGATTCCATCCCTGTACACCGCACATCACTCATCAGAATGGGACGTTTGTATTTCTCATTGGAAGGCACAAGATACGGTACTCCCCCTGTGAACCCTAAGCCCCTACAGACCACTTGAGCTTCATTTCTACTCCATCCTTTCATACAGATGCTGCCCCAAATTCCGTTCATGTTGATCATAACCTCACCGTGCGTATCAGTATGAACATCGTCAAGATCTAGCGTCAAGTTAAATCCTGTAACATTGAAATGAAAAAGAAAATCAACACTTTCCTGATACACATGCGTTCAACTAAATACAAATGTTATTGTAAATTTAATATCCCGCTTTGTTACGTCACCTGTATTGTAAATTCGATTGTTGCTGCAGTACACCGATATATACTTTTTGCATACACCTTTATCAGTGAACTCAAAGTTGCAGTTGAACAAATCTTTTTCGTTGCCACCACAATCAATACGGCGGACTCTGATTGGACTAGACGTCTCTCCAAAGGCAGATCCTAGCACCACTGTTCCTTCCTTGTATCCCAATGTCTGGCAGACAACACGCGCCGTTAGTCCATTAAAACCGTCATCACAAACTGTCATCCATTCGTTTTGATGGTAAATTTCAACCGCTCCCATAGAGGCCTTGTAGCCAAGGTTCAGCCTCACTGTTGAAGTAAACCAAGCATTTTATGCTTAACAATACAAAACTGGAATCAAACCACTTTTACAATTAAGAATCGAAACTTACATTTGTTGACACAGAAAACTCCAGCGTCATCTTTGTGAGAGGTACATTTTTTCCATCCAGTAGTGACCACTTCGTCACTAAATCCCCTGTGGGCACAGGCGTGGATGGACTTTTCTTTACCAGTACAGGCCAGATGACTGAGCCACACCGGTCCTTCACCCTCTCCAAACTCGGCACCAGAGATCGCATACCCATCAGAATAGTTCATCATTCGACAGAAGACGCCGGCATCCTTGTCATCCCAGGACAGATCACAAATTGTTCCCCACTGATTGTTAAAGGCCAGTTCAACACGACCGTAATTCTTACCACCATTGGCGAGGGTGTAGTTTATTCCTAGAAAAAGAATACATTGATGCCATTGAACTATACAAGATGGAGATTTTCCCTTTTAAAGGAAAAGCGACAGTAGTTATATCCAAAGCTTACCTGATTCATTGTAACAGAGTGCAGCAGCAGCGTTAGCCATTGAACTGTTTCCGAGTTCCAAACGGCCATGAAATTTACACTGCTCTAACGACATCTCATGTCCAGTGCAGTTGAAGTCACTAACAAAGAACACTGGGTCTGACCGAATGGGGTTGCGAGAGGTCTGGTAGGCGAGACCAAAACGTGCCCCCAAGTTTCGACAGAAAATTCCCGCCTCTTTATCGTCCCAGTGACGGCTGGAGACTCTTCCGGTGACATTATACTGTGACACTGCCACCACGCCACCTATACTGGATATCGACGACGGAGGCCCAGTGGAATCATCCGGATTTACAAATCCAAACGTCAATTCTGGAAAGCAGAGAAGTGGAAATGAAATTTTGACGTGTGATTTTGATATTTACTGTAATGGTGTGTTCCTTTGTTTATTAAATTACTTAACAATTTGCTTTAACTATCAAGTATATAGACAAGAAACATTTCCAAATTCCTTCCCCCTAGGAATTGTTCTACCTTTTTTTGTTCAATAACTAGCCAAAGTAAAATAGTTTCCCACTTTCCCTGATCTGTTAAAAAAGAATAATGGAAGAAATCTAGATTATATTCATACTTCCTTTCATCAGGGTTTCATTCCTGAGGTCTTCTGGGGTGAAGCACATCACTGACGCGTACGTATCGTATGCGTCACACGGCGCGTCCGTCAGACACTCGGTGATGGAACTCTCTCTGCCTAGGCATTTCAGGGATTTCCCAGTTAGGATCGGGTCAAACGTTTTACCGTAAGCTGAACAACAAACGGCCTTGCCCTCGACGAATCCCAGCTCCTTACACACAATGCGGGCAGACATGTCATCAAAATTCTTGTCGCAGATCAGACTCCACGTATCGTTGTAGTAGTACATCACTGGTCCATGTTTTGTTTCTATTCCGATACCTGTGTCTAGTTTGACTAAAAGGAGAAACGTGATGCTATAATAGGGACTTGGCGCTTAATTCAAATTTAGAATCAGTCAAATCCAAGAGTAAAAGACATGCAGCCCTACTTACTGATATATCTGTATACTACAAATATGATACTAGTATTATTAGTTACATAGTCTTTTAGTGACAGGGTATGGGATGATTCCTGGTTAGTAAATTTCATACCTGGCGAGGCGGAGCCGAGTCAGGTATGAAATTTACTAACCAGGTATCATCCCATACTGATATATCTGTATGTACCCACCGATTAAATATTTACGTTTTATCTGTGGCTTATAAATGATTTTCTATGCTAAATGCTTCATCGCGCTTATACTGAAAAACGTTTGTGTTTGTGACGTATAAGGTTAAACATCTCTCCGGGTATGTCATCATTCAAAAATTTCACGGTAAAATCAACAGAGGTGGGGTAATTTGAAATACTTGAAATCAATACTTTCAAAAAATGATGATTACGATATGCTTTAATTTGTATTTCATATAAACATGCTAATGTGCATAATGCACCTTTCAGAAAGAGTGAATGAACTTCATGATCATCCAGTGAATACTTAGGATGTCATTTATCTTCATGTGACAGCTACCGTAAATGAATTCAGTTATTAATCTTGAACTGGGATGAAGCCAATGTATAGCAATACGATCACGTTCCGACATGCTGCACGTGGGAAGACTCCCTTCAGGAGCTACAGTTCCCCCTCCCCATTGTTTTTCATGCTTAAATAATCGTTTTTCATCTTTGATTTTTGACTTCCATAGATAAGAAATATAGGAAATGCAACGAATTCTAATCTATTGTTCGTTTAAGGTGTAAAGCTTTAAGATTTCAAGCATGATTATTCGATTTGTTTTGCCAAAAGAATGGATAACTTCACAAAACCTAGTAACTTTATACTTTACTGCCGAAATATAGCTAATAAACCGCGGTATTTCATAACAAATGATGGTGTTACAACTTTTCATTGGATTTAGCATACTTTCCACTAAATGTGTTTTCAATCATTTGAATGTTTTCATTGACAAATTTGGTAATCCCGCACGAGAAACAGACTGAACTAATTGTTCTCAAAACAATTAAAACGAGGTTAATGTGACCTATTTTAAGGCAACACAGCCATGTTATTCCATACGAAATGTGTACTGACAAAATTTCAATATCCTTGGTCTCACAGCGTTAAAAATTCAGAACTCAAAGCTGATAGATGACGGACAGGAAACACCTCCTCCTTATATTGACCCTTCCAAGGTCTTGGATCTAAACCGCCAAATTTATTTATTTAGATAGAATGGACGAAATTTAACCCTGATTAACGTGTACTTAGTTCGTGTAGAGGAAATTAATATTTTTCTAAACAATATATTTAATATTCTTACTTGTATTGTAACAATGTACAGTTGCATCCATATCATGAGATCCGCACGCTTTAGAGTAGTTCCGTTTCCAGCCTTCATGTGGACAATCTAGCAAAGAGTTTTCCTGACCCCTACAATGCATGTTAGGTTCATATATAGGGACATGATCGTCAGCCTTTAGGTCTGGATTCTTGTGATAGGGGAAGCCTGTGTTAAACCCAAGGGATCGACAGAATGCGGTGGCCTCAGGATCATCCCAAAACCGTTTACAAATAGTTCCCCACACACCGTCCACCGCCATCTCAACGCGCCCGTAGTAGGAAGTTCCGCCCGTCAAACGGAAGTTCACCCCTATGCAAAAATTGACAAAATTTTACCAGAAATGCTGAAAAATGCAAATTTAAAAAAGTACTGGTCCTAATGGTTTTTCTACTATTATATCATCGGTCAATTCCTATAGGATCAGCCACTTTGACAGGAATCTTTAGAATAAATACTACAAGAATGGTAAAAAATGATATGGAAAATCTTACGCACTTGGAATGTGCTTTGAAATCAAAGAGATCTTCCCATTCGATATACCGTAAAATTTTATTACTTACCAACAGTGGAATAACAGACAACTCCTGCATCGTATCTCTCAATACAATCATTGACGCGGCCGAGCGTAAAGTTTGGACACTGGGAAAGTTTGTATTCACTTCCCGTACAGTTCAGCTTAGTCGCCCATATCGGACTTCCTTTAGCAAATAGTATCTTATGTTTGTATGGCAAACCTATTAAAAGAAAATATCTATGGAGATTATTAAGTCAAGTAACAAAAAAAAAGATTATTTGAGAATCAAGGTATAGTTAAGCTTTAACTTTGACAAACAATTTAACCCTCGAATCAGGTATATAGTTAAGTTTTACCCATGATGTAAACCTAAAAACAAGGTACAGTTAAGCTTTACCTTTCACGTATCCCATTTGTCGACAGGCAACTGTGGCATCTTTCTCGTCCCAATCGTCGGCGCAAATACGACCGGAAATGTTGAGATACGTCACTTCCAAAGAGCCCGAGTTATTGCTTGAGCCAGATATTCCCAAGCTGTATTCTGTAAAGAATAATTTTTAAAAATAAATTTCCCCTTGTTATTCAAAACTATTGGTATGGATTATATAATTTTATACAATTTTGTTTTTGTAGCGAATCTAATTCAAAGTCATCAAAATGGGGAAAATGGAGGAAATTTACCATCATTTGAGGGAAGCTGTCCATTGTAACAAGCCACGGCAGCGTAGTCTTGGTGGCAGGCCGCTACGGGTGGTTGTTTTGTGCAGTTGAGAAGGCTTTTCTCATTTCCTTTACAGTTGACTTTGTCAATGACGCCTGTGTCATAACTGTAACCATAGGCACCGCAACAAACGGACAATCCGTGATCATATCCAAGCTGTCTGCATGTCACGCCTGATTAACCATCAATATACATATTTTATTAACGCTATCCTTTGTTTTATGGAATATGCAATAAGTGTTAATGTTGTGATATGTATAAAAAACTTACGTATGTCGACATCTGACCACAAATGACCGCACACAGTTCCCCAGTTTTCCTCCATATAAACTTGAACCACACCATGACTCTGTTTATCTCCCTTATCCAGACGAACTAAGAAACATAATTATGTTTGTAACTAATTAAATCGTGAATAATGCAAGACAACACCAGAATTCAACACAAACTTTAACCGTTGGAAGGAGAGCGGTTAACTCACCGTTGTCCATACAGATAACTGTGGCGTCTTGACATTGTGAGTAATCAGGGTCCCAGTGTAGATTACACTGCAACAACCCCTTCTCATCTCCCTCACAATCCACGTAGTCAATCCACACATACTCCGTGTTGCTCCTGTCAGGGGCGGGTCCAGCCTCCCCATCAATAAAGCCACGCCCTATTGATCGACAGAACACTCGTGCGTCTTTGTCGTCCCAGCGCCGGTTACAGACACGCCCCCATTTCCCATTAAACAAAACTTCAACAATACCGCTCTTTCCGTCTCCAGCAATGCGAAATTTTACTCCATCTATTTAACAAAATTACACATAAAATAAACTGTAAATTGTGAAAGGAACAAGAGAAAACACTTTTCAACAAAACAAACTTGGTTATACTCACTCGGATCCTGATAACATAACACGCCTGCAGATGTTCTTGTAAAGCGACCCTCAATTCTTTCGGAACAACCAAGATCCTCTTCAAATTTCTTGTGTGGACAATCCTTTAATCTTTGTTCTGTACCACTACAGTTAAACCTCCCAACAGATATAGGGGTTGTCAGTCTTGACGAACCTACATGTTATATGACGTATTTTGTAGAGAAATCATGGTAACATTTTAATATTAAGGCCTACGTAATAACACTGGCTGACTCCTCGTGGCGCAGTGGTTAGAGTGTCTGCTCTAGAGTCACGAACTAAGGAATAAATCCTTACTTCGCGGGTTCGAATCCCTTCGGAGACCGGTTCTTTGGATGAGAACGTAGAAACCGAGTACCCGTGTCGCAGTAAGTGCTGGCACGAAAAAGATCAGTCACTGCTCAATGGTCGTAAGTGCGGAGTATGGGACAAAATTTGAAGCACTATACCGGCAATCTTGAGAGAGACGTTAACAATCAAACAAATAAAATTGGCTGAAAATGTTAAGTTTACAGACAATTTTAATTTTTCTCTCATTTTACAGTCATTGTTACCAATGAAAATGTAATCTGTAGGTTAACTTTTTAACCAGACACTACATCCGACACTAACCCCTAAATGCTACACCTCCGTAAAAGTTCATCTGTCGGCACGTGACGTTTGCGTCGTGATCGTCCCAGTCCACGTTACATACGGGGCTCCAAAAGCCATACTCGTTTGCTTCCACTGATCCATAATATTTCTCTTCCTCTCGTATTCTCACCTGCAGCTCTGAATTAAAATGTCTGAATTATAGCTCAGGTTACCAATTTATATCTACTCTGTAACACATTAAGAGTAAAAGCACATAAAATATAAATAACGCGCTATATAGGCCTAACATTATTAGAATTTCCTTGAATACCAGAAGCTTTACCTTTTGAGACAATCTGGTCTTTGGAACAATACACCGAGACATATTTTCCACTTCTACACTTGATGTGAGCTGTTGACTGGTGGTAACACTGATCCAGACTTCTCTCCGTACCACGACATTGTACGTTAGTCACGGTGATGTCATCTACTGGGTGTGGACCGAGGGCCGAGCAGCACTGCTTCTTGCCGTAAGGGAAGCCCAGGATGTTACAAGCAACTTTAGCAGAGCGATCTGTAAAGCCTTCGTCACAAACACTAGTGAACGTTTTGTTAACGTACATTTCCAGACGACCGTAGAAAACGTCTTTAGAATCCACAAGACGGACTTTAAAAAAGAAGTCAAACATGTCTTAAAAATCGATCAGAAGTCAGTACAGCTTAAAATCAAATACAAACCCGAACTTTGAAAATACCTACCTGAATCATAACATTGAACAGCTGCATCCGAGTTATGGGAAAAACACATATGTCGGTTACCACCCCTTGGTATAAACATTCCACTTAAAGTCGACCGCTGTTCGTTAAATGACATAGGACAATTAAAGATGGATTCCTCGTCACCTTGACAGCGGAGATACGCGATCCAGATTGGTCCATCACCTGCGCCAAATTGTCCGTACCGCAGGGCACGCCCGCTTGTGTGGTTCAGCATCCGGCAGAGAACTGTGGCATCCTCATCGTCCCAAAAGCCCGACCCACAAATAGTTCCCCACTGGTTGTTGATCGATATTTCCACACGGCCTGAGGAGGCATTTGAGCCGTTTATGAGGCGAATTGGTATGTCTGGAGTACAAAAAGCATTGGTTAGCAACAAAGCCGCTCAAGAAAGGTCAATTAATCAGCGTCTTCTTTATCAAAAAAAAAGTGCAGTATACCCTCGCCCAAACGCAAATAAACTCAATGAAGATTTTACGAAAATAAATCTTTAAAATCTTAAACTGTTTTACAGTGTTCTTACTGGCATTTTCTAAGCAATAGACAGCAGCCTTTGTGTCCTGTGAGCAGTTGCCTACGTTTCCCCAGCGAATGTTACCACAGCGAGCTATGTAGCCTTCATTGCCTGTACAGTTAAGGTTAGACAACCAAGGTAAGCTAAGTCGGCGTTTGGTGAAATCGTGTTCGTAGTAAGAAAACCCGTCCTGATACCCCAATTCACGGCACACAACTTTGGCATCCTTGTTGTCGAACCCGTCCGAACATATGGAGCCCCAAACGTTGAGGTGTCGAACCTGTACAACACCTTTGTTATCCTCTGACAGACGGAGTTCGTATGCTGAAAGAGATTTAAAGAACTGCACGTAATAAAAAGAACAGCTTTTTTAAAATTAATTGTCAAGCAGAACAACCCATTTGAAACCTTCCTCTATCGTCTGCCCGTCGATCAGTCTGTCGCACCGATCTTTTTGTTCTCTGAAAATCGTAAGTCTTCGTAAGCCATGGACTATAGTATCCATTTTATTTATTTAAACAGATTTATACCTTAAAGTGCACTGCCTTTACAAGACCAGGATATTGAATGCGTCAGATAACCTTCATTTTTCAACCATTTCTTTCTACCAATATACACTATGTGAATCAATTGTCTCAAGGGAGATTACTGTAAGCTTCTTACCTCCACTGGATGCTGCGTTTGAGCAGGCGACGGAGGCGTACCGTTTGCTGCGACATCCGTCTGCATTCTTTGAGTAGTCACACTGCAGAATGGAGGATTCTTGTCCGCTACATTGGACGTTATTAATAGATATCTCGTAATCTGGCATATCGCCAAACACTGAGCAACAGATACTGATGCCATTTCTATACCCTAGGGAATGACATACAACTTTGGCATCAGTGTCATCAAACCCGTCCGCACATACCAAAGCATACTGGGTGTCTTGCCAGATTTCAACAGCACCAAAGGTGATGTTGGGTTCAAGTCGTACTGAAAACAAAAATAATCTTGAGCATATTAAGGTGCTAAAACCTACATCAGAAAATAATTACAGAGATTTTCGATTTTGAAAAAAGATTTGTAACTGTTTCAGTAATTAACCTTGTCCAGTACAATACACCCCGGCATCATACTCGTGGGTCCTGCAGGAAGTATGGGTCACATTCCAGCCACTGTTGCTGCATTCCCATATGGACTTTTCATTACCGTCACATCGTACATAGTAGAGCCATGACGGGCCCTCTCCCTCGCCATATTTCCCTCTTGGCTGAGCGACGCCATCGACGAAGCCCAGCTGACGACAAACAACTCTGGCGTCATTGTTGTTCCAGTAGGAATCACAGATTGTTCCCCAGACACCGTTATAAGATATCTCAACACGGCCGCTATAGCTGTTCCCCGTCCCCGCCAAACGAATGCTAAAACCTGAATGGGAAACATACATTTCAAACTAAGCTCCCAGAGAAATTGAAAATAATTTTCGATCAATATTGACTTTCAGAAGAAACTTCTAACTCTACCATTTCCGTTGTAGCAGAAGACCCTGGCGGCGAGTCTGCTGGACAGACAGGTTTGACTGACTGGGGCTGCGGCTTTACTACAGTCGTTGATGTTCTTTTCTTCACCGGTACAGTTAACACTGGACAGCCAGATCGGAGTTCGCGAGCTGTAGTAACGAGGTCCGAACGGCACGCCACCGGTGTAACCTAATTGTCGACAGGCCACTGTAGCAGCCTTTTCGTCCCAGTTTTCCGCACAGATCGTACCCTGTATTCCGAACTTCTCAACAAGCAGAGTGTCGGGGAATTCCTCTCTCGGCAGCAGGTCTACCTCTGTATGACAGGAACAAAGCATTTTCTTGAATAATTATTAGAACTAAGGATCAAGGTGGACTAATTTTTGATAATACCACAAGAGGCCCATGGGCCATATCGCTCACCTGAGCACATTGGCTAGGAAGTAAACACAGAAATCACTTCAGTATTGAGAAGTTTACATAGGGGGGGGTCTGGAATTTTAAACTATCAACTACCTGATGATGCTTCCATATAACAAATGCCTTTGCTGATTTTGAGCAGATGATTTTTTCCACATTTTTCGTTTGACCCCCCATCGTGACCCAGCCTATCCCTTGGGTACCTCATTTGAACCAGTATGACTTTGTACTATCTGAGGATGCCTCATTATTAATATGATTAAACATGGCTTTTCTGTTCTTGGGGAAAAAAAATTCCTTCATATTTCTTGGCAAAACTTTGATCCCCTATTGTGGCCCACCCTACCCAACCCCTACTTCCCTTTCATGACTTGAACAAACTTGAATCAACACTACATGAGGATGCTTACATAAAGATATGACCAATCATGGCTTTGTGGTTCTTAAAATGAAGAGTTTAAAAAAAAATTCCGATGTATTATTCCTATGTTAAACTTTAATTGTCTATTGTGGCCCCGCCCTACCCATGGGGGTCATGATTTGAACAAACTTGAATCTACCGGTACACTACCTGAGGATGTTTTCACATAAGTTTCATCTTTACTGGCCCAGTGATTCTGGAGAAGAGGATTTTCAAAGATTTTTTCCTATATATTCCTATGTAAAACTCTGATCAGCCATTGTGGCCCCGCCCTACCCCGGGGGTCATGATTTGAACAAACTTGTATCTACACTACCTGAGGATGCTTCCACATGAGTTTCATATTTCCTTTTTAAAAGATGCCATCAATTTATCATTAATTCATAATTATCTCCCCTTGGAAGAGAGCTTGGCCCTTTTTTTGAACAACTCGAATCCTCTTCACCCGAGGATACTTTGTGGCAAGTTTGGTTGAAATTGGCCCAGCGGTTCTTGAGAAGAAGATGAAAATGTAAAAAGTTTACAACGACGACGACAGGCAACGGACAAATTTTGATCAGAAAAGCTTACTTGAGCCTTTCGGCTCAGGTGAGATAAAAACGTTCGTTGTCCATAAATTACAATTAATAATTTTTCAGATGTCTTACGTTCTCTCGCCATTGAATACTTGGAGCATATAACACTGGCGTAGTTGTAAGATCTTTGTGCGCATGTCCCTTCTGTAAATGAACACTGCTTCACTGTTGCCTCTGTACCAGTGCAATTCAGGTTTAGAATGGAGTTGGTGTAGTATTTGGAACCAAAGGCTCCGGGAACGAGTGTCTTGCTGTTGCCAAAACCGAGTTCTCGGCAGACGACTTGAGCATCATTTTCATCAAATCCGTCTGCGCAGACCGTAACCCAGTTACCACGCACATACATTTCCACTTGTCCAGTGGTTGCATTATCTTCCGTCTGTCCGCTACTAATACGTACTGAAAAGTATTTTTGAGACATATAATATGTGATATCGTAGTAGCACCGCTAGTCTATCGAAACTATTTATGAATTTGAATGAAACAGCATCTAAAGTTGCTCAGAGACGTATAGTGAAATTTTGAAAAGTGGAGATTTTAATTTATACTCACCATCAAAAGATACGCAACACCCTAATTTTTTTGCGGGAAATTATATACGGGTTATAACTCTGTACCAAAAAGTTGGGACATCTTTAACTTTGCCAAATCAGTTATTAAACGGTTGAATGATTTTTATTCCATTACCGGAAGTTGATTTTAGCCCTATTACTTGGATAGGAACTCATGCTTTTGAAACACATGAGCCTGATGAGTCGTTATGTAGTGTATAATTGCATCTGCAGCTCTCCTTTTTCTTTATTTTGAGGATTTCCAGCATTATAGGAACGAAAATGCGCGCTTTCAGTCATTTAGAGGAAATATAGGCATCACATTCGGAAGAGAAAGAAGGATTTCTTTTCGGAATTCTAGTAAAATACTTATGATTAACAGCCACAAAACCTCGAAAACCCTGAATATTGTCAAATATTTTATCAAAAATGCATTTTTTTTTGTTTCTGTTAAGAGGGCTAAAATTCAACTTCCGGTAATGGAAAGAAAATCATTCAACCGTTAAATAATTGATTTGACAAAGTTAAAGATATCCTAACTTTTCTGCATAGTTATAACCCGTGTATAATTTTCCCCCGAAAATAAGGGTGTTGCGTTTCTTTTGGCGGTCAGTATATATTCAATGTTCCTGCTTTCAAAATCTTTCTTTAAAAATCTCATGATAACATACAAAATTACGAAGGACCCCGCTACATGTAACAAATTAATATTAAAGAAACGTGCAAGATCAAATTTAAATTTTTCCAAAAAGTGACTAAGGGCATATATATTTTTAAAAGTATTATATGTCCTTATCATTTTTGTGCAAAAAATCGATTAAAGAGGAACTGAAAATATGGGTGAAAACGTTACCTTTCATTGACAGATTTTAATTACTCTACAGAAACTGTTTTAACTTGCATAACATTACCAAGTGGGATTCCAACAATATTTCTTGATACAAAAGACACTCACCGTTGTTATAACAGAAGACTCCGGCGTTACGGTTGGCTTCTAAACAGTCCGTAGGTATGTTCTGTTTCCAGCCCGGATTTCTACACATAAATATGCTGGACTCGGAGCCAAAGCAATTCATACTGGAGAGGAACTTTGTCACGTTAGGCCCAGGTAACCCTCTATAAGACATTCCAAAATTAAGAGTTAAGAATCGCTATTTAATTAGGTCATACTTATTTGTAAAGATCTGAGCGAGGAAAAAGTCTTGGGTACATGATATCCTTGCAAACCACGATCAAAATGCACGATCCTCTCCCATTCTGGAGAGAGCTATATGCAGACTCCGAACTGTGGCTTGGTATGGGCATATGTACACATATGAGAATCTTGGGGATATAAAACAGTTCTTGCAATGCATGGTACCAGCATTTATAAATTATACAAAAATTTCGATATGCATATAGAGATCGAAATATTTCACAAATTCTGAAGTTTTCATCATCAGTCATTTAAGTAGGGGTTTTCAGTATTGTTTAAATTCCCTTTTACCAAGTTTTCCCTGTGCTTTAATATATATACATGTAGATAAATGATTTATCAATCTCGTCAAAGATGCAGCATGATTGCAGGATATACAAGGTATACAAGGCATCTACTCTCCATTATTATACTTAAGTGCATATTAAAAATGTCCCTCGTCATTTTTCTGTGAAACTTTAGAACTTAAATAACAGATGATTCTGATTGTTACTGTTGAAAATTATAACTAAATCGTAAGTGTTATGTGTTCAACAGTGTATGAAATCTCCGTATTTGTTTATCATTTGGGTGTACTATTTACATTCTACGCACGTTCATGAATAAATAGAAAATTTAACCTAAGACAGACTCTTTATAAATTGCATGCACATAAAAATAAATAAAAATTTAAAGAGTTTAAGATAAGCGATTTTCATTAGTAGCAGATCGTTTTGCTTTTAATTTAGGTCATTTGAATATATAGCATCAAAAGAACATTGCCTTATAGGATGACACACCAGTGTTGATGCGTAAAAGCGAGAAAAAATTACAAATTAACATAGTTAATAAAGTCATTTACATTTAGAATAAACAAATATCCTAAATAATAAAAACTTTCTAGCAACCAAAATCTGACGGATTTATGTATTCCATTAAGTTTGCAATATTTATTGGTTCATATAAAGCCCCTAACGACGTTTATTCCTGTTGAATTATTTTTACATCCTGAGACTGTAAACCAACTATTATTCGCGTCATATTTTATTCGCGATTTGTCAGTAAGAAATCAATCAATTAAGTATGTCGCGAAACTTTGGGGTATTTCTCACGCGCGAATAAAAATTGGTTTACAGTATATCAAGGAGCAAACAGTGAGGACAATTCTCTTTTATTCTAGGAAAACGGTCGCGAACACCGTATAATTTTATTTGGGTGCAACTCCCCCATTTTTACTGACAAAAAATTGAATCAGATGGATTGCTTGAAGTGCAACATCTTAAAATATTGACTTCATTTCCACAGATCGAGCACATGGAATTGGGATCGCACTAAAAAACAACCTTAGCTATTTTATCAACGAGGTTCTTATTCCATTGAAATGCTGCATGGGGTTGAATTACTGGCAAAAATTAATACATACATGTATATAATATACTGACCGTCAAAAGAAACACCCTAATTTAGGGGGGAAAATATACACGGGTTATAACTATGTACCAAAAAAATTAGGACATCTTTAAATTTGCCAAATCAGTTATTAAACGGTTGAACGATTTTCATTCCATTACCGGAAGTTGATTTTTAGCCCTCTTAACAGAAATAAAAAAAATTGCATTTTTAATAAAATATTTGACCACATTTTGGGTTTTCGAGGTTTTGTAGCTGTTAATCATAAGTATTTTGCTAGAATTCCGAAAAAAAAAATCCTTCTTTCTTTTCCGAATGTGATGTCTATATTTCCTCAAAATGACTGAAAGCACGCATTTTCATTGCTAATACTGGAAATTCTCTAAATAAAGAAAAAGAAATCTGCAGATGCAATTATACACTACATAACGACTCCAATCAGGTTCATGTGTTTCAAAAGCATGAGTTTCTAACCGGAAGTCCAAGAGTTACTACACTACGCCAAGTTGGAGAAAATTCGACCGCAGTATCTGAAAAAGGAGCATTTTAAATTGCCCAAGAAGATTCATTTCGCTCAAATTAAGACATTAATGAACCTAATGCATGGTAGAAATCGGGCTGTATTTGTTGTACATGGCAGCCTATAGCACGTTTTAATTAAATGGTCTGAAGGGGGATGTTTTAAGAGTTATGTATTACTTTTAAGGTTCAGAGATAACATTAAAAATGAAAACATTAAGGTAAGAAGTAAATTTACTATAGGTTTAAACGTTCTTTTTGAAAAATTTATCGATGTGTAAACTCTTGACATTTTACTCACAAACTGAATAAAAGTGCGAAGCACTTTTATGTTAAGTTTGTGAGTAAAATGTCAAGAGTTTACACATCGATAAATTTTTCAAAAAGAACGTTTAATTCTTATAATTCCAATATCGAATTTCTAAATATATTCAAATTATTTCTCTTTGAGGCCTCCATACAATCCGTTAGTTCTGGACGGCGTAGGAATACATTTTACCGCAAAGGAACGTAATCGAGATGAATTTCGATAGAGACTTAGTGTTGGGGAATCGGGAAAAAATCAGAATCGATTATCGGTAATAATCGGCTGGGCATAATCGATTAATAATCGATTATAATCGAAATTTTGAACTTTAATGAAATTAATGTAGAACAGTTTACACTTATTCAGATTTTTGTCAGACTTTTACAAAAAAAAAATCATTTACTCACATAAACATGATAAAATACTCAACAATGTTAATTAAAATTTCTTATTTAAAAAGTGGAAAAAAAAAATATTTTGTTTACTTTAATCAATATAGGAATATTGAAACAGAATAGGAATTTATTTTTTTAATAAAGTCCATGCAATGGATATTTTACTGATATTAGTCCCACCTTTCATTTAATACAGGTATTTATTTCTTAAAATTGCAAGTTTTAAAAGTAGTTATCCAGAAGTGAGACTTGTTCTTCTGATTATAATTATGTTTAAAGATTGACTAGACTAATTATGTTTTTCTTTGTATAGTAAACCCTTGCAATATCACCGTTTCCTCATTTTAGTCTAACCCCATTTTTAATCATGGTGGTAAAAGTGTCAACAAGACACGGAATCCTTCCATGTTTTCAACATTCATCACTATTTTTATGCTCTTTGCACTTGGATTTGGTAATAAAATTAAAGTATGACAATTTTATTTTTTGTTAGCGATGTCGGCGACATTTATTTAATAATCGATTAGTAGCATCGAAGAGCTTCTAACGACCGACAATCGATCGTCGGCGACAATCGTTCCATCACTAGATAGAGTTCAGCTTAAATTGTCAAAACAATCGATAAATAAACTTATAAAGACTTATCGAATGTTGTTTAAGTCAACAAATATCGTAATTACGAGTTTACTTCAGAATAGTTCGTCCATGGCCATGTTGAATAAACAACAACTCTCATAGCGAAAGTTGCAGACCGACGACGCCTTCGATTTGCACTTGTTTGTTCAAAGATTGAGGAACAATATAGAAAGTAAATATGGATTTGATGCTTATAGGGCAAGAGTTTGAGGTACGTTTCTTTTCATTGTCTAAACGATACAAACTGAGTTGATTAGCTTCGTATTATGAACGTTGAGACAGCGATTTTTAAAATTCACACTGGTGATCGAACAGTGACATTAACATTTTCATGGCGTCCGTCAGCTGGGCAGCCTAGCATGTCGCCAGTTTTGTTTTAATTAATTAAATTTGAAGTTTCTTGTATTTATAATTTATCCAAAACAGACGATAAATAACTGCTTTCGTTGTTTATACGATAAACTACATGTAGAAGCTTAGTCAAAAAAGTAGTACTGAGTGAAAAAAAAAAATTATCGATGTGTAAAAATTTTCTTAAACGTGTTCTCGTCCAATCAAAACACAGGAATTCAATAGATACAATGAAGATTGGAATTATACAAAAATTGATACTTCATTTAAACGTTAAATGTTATCTTTAGACTTTAAAAAGTATTTTTTGAGGAAATATAGGCATCACATCCGGAAAAGTAAGAAGGAGTTTTTTTTCGGAATTCTAGTAAAATACTTATGATCAATAGCTACAAAACCTCGAAAACCCTAAATATTGTCAAATATTTTATTAAAAATTCAAATTTTTTATTTCTGTTAAGAGGGCTAAAATCAACTTCCGGTAATGGAATGAAAATCATTCAACCGTTAAATAAATGATTTTGCAAAGTTGGTACATAGTTATAACCCGTATATAATTTTCCCCCCAAAATTAGGGTGTTGCGTTTCTTTTGACGGTGAATATATAGTTACATACAGAGTATACAGAATTTATGCCATAAATGATCGGGACATATTCTGATTGTCATGTTTCTTTCTTTAAAAAAATATGTTTAATCAAATTTAAAATAGGTGTTCCAATGCGGAACTGATACATCTAGTACTTTTAATAGATTGTGACAAGCGTGATGTGTTCAGTCAGATACAGCAGATTTTTTTTTATGTAAACCAAGTCGTGTTTGTGTACCTTCTGAATTCGCCGCCAGTGAAGCCGAGCTGCCTACAGGCCACGGTGGCGTCATAGCGTGACCAACCCTGGTCACAAATCGTCCCCACCTCGTCATCCATGATTATCTCCAGCCGTCCAGTGTTGTGTGTTCCCCCCACCAGGCGGAGCTGTGGTTCTGAGGAGACAATTATGCTTATACATGTATAGATATTTAGGTGTGTATAAGGTTATGTACAGTAGAGGAAAGAATTCTGAAACATCAGTTGGCACTGTTATTATGAAGTCTACACTCAGACTTTGTGCTTTGCGTTCCTAAGAGGACCCGTGCATTTTTTACGTTAATTTTTCAACAGTTGATGTGAAATAGCTAGATACAAATTGACCCAATAACATTTTGTTTTTTTTTCTGTTTGAAAACCTTTTGTTCTTTAAGTATTTAAAGATCATAAACTTTTTCTTTTTCATTTTTCTAGTTATTGATCCATGTGCTAATTACAGTTTCACGGCGATTATTTTGTGAATTTTGAAATTTACTGAATGCAGGAGATAACGTAAATGTAAAATTTACATTCATTTTTTAAAAAATTAATCTAGTAAAGAAAAAAAAATCACATAATAGGATCTACATCGCTATCTTAGGTTAAAGTTTGTTATGCATTGATAATCTTCTAATTAAACTTTCCATTAAATCTAGTAAATCGTAAACGTATAATTCACGAAGTATGCACGCACTTTGTTTTCCCAAAACACACCTGTTGAATTCTATAAGCAAATTGAATTATAATAACATAGCAAAACATAACTAAATCAACCAATAAATAAAGCATTAAACGTAATTCGCTGTAATTAATCTTCAGTTTCCTTGTCATTTATAGATCTTGGTAAAATGTCAGAGGTCAGATATTATACGTCGTTGTGTGAAGAATCTAACCAAAACAAACATTGGGTTTCATACTTAATGAATCAGCTAGAAGTGTATATGCAAGTCTTATAAAAAGTATGACAAAGCCCGCCTCCATAAAAAATAATTTATCCAAGGTTTTATTCTTCAAAAATGGAAATTATGGTAATATTTTGTACTTTTTATATTTTATCAATGTAAATCATTTTAACGACTTTAATCATTTAATAAAATAATGTAGAAAACAAGGATTTTACAGAAATCAATTAAAAATACATTTACAGATATTGTTGAACTGTTAAATATAGAGTACTTACTTCTCTGTCTGTAGCAGAGTACCCCGGCGGATCCCATGGAGTATTGTGAATCACACTCCTCCACCCCTATTGAGCAGTTGAACAGGTGCCCCTCGTTACCCTTACAGTTCACCTCCCCCAGAAAATAAGGACCGCTCCCCGAGGACGTCTCCTGGTATGCAACGCCACCTACAATCAATCAGCGCAGCTTAATTGATATGATTTAACTTTGTCAGGATTCTAAATTCGGTCAAATTAAAATAAATATCTAGCAGCTTATGGTTGTGGGAGGTAGAAAAAGCCAGAATTCAGAACATTCAAATATTTTTCATTTTGAAGACATAGATGCTGTGAATAATTTTCCCTTACCGGTGTACCTCAGCTGTCGACACACCACGTCAGCATCCTTGTCGTCCCAGGCGCTGGGACAAATCCTCCCCCAGATTCCATACTTCATCACCGCCACACGGCCCGTCTGATTCTCGTAGCCGTACGCGCCATTCTCCAAGCGAAGCTTCAACGCTGAAAAAAGCAGTTCAAGCATGCCATTCTCAGAGTTTGATCAATATTATAATTCCTCCAAATCAGAGAACTTAATTTCAATATGTGACAATATTTTTCGATTTTCGAAACGAAAATTCATCATTTAGCTTTTATTTTCATTCAAAATGGTACTTTTATTAAGGGTCCCATTGTAACAAGAAACAGCTGCGTATCCAAGGTAGTTTTCTCTCTGACAACTTCTCAGTTGATCGTATTTACAATCCAAAATGCTGCTTTCGTTTCCATGACATGTTATGTTTGGCCTGGAGTATCTGCCGTAGAATGTTCCGAATGTTCCCTTCGGAAGATTTCGTCCGTATTGGAATCCTAACTCCCGACATATGACTCTGGCGTCATTGTCTGTGAATCCCTCACCACAAAGAACTGACCAGTACTGGTCCATTATCTGAACCACGCCATGAGAGTGGTCACCGCGAGATAATCGGACTAGAAGAGATTTTATGAATTTATTAACGACAGTTTGCTAAACACACTATAATTTTATCCTGAAAGTTGCATTTATATGATAGATACTTATAACTTGTATTTTCCTTACCGTCTTTATAACAAATAACGGAGGCGTCCTTTGTATGATTGCTGCACTCTGACTTGTCGTACGTCATCCAGCCGTCGTTTCGACATTGGAATATGGAGGACTCGTAGCCGTAACAGCTCAGCCCGTTCATCATGATAGGACCGCTGCCTTTGCCGTAATACGAGTTGGAGATGGGTTCCCCGTCTGCATAGCCTTTAGACTTACAGAGCACTCTGGCGTCACTGGAGGACCAGGAATCGTCACAGACCGTGCCCGTGACTCCATCATAGGTGATCTGAACACGGCCGTAATAGGAGCCGCCATCTACCAGGGTCGCATTTATACCTGTAGAAAAAAGGAAAGTTAGATTTTTATAAATTATAAGGCGTATATTTGTAATTTGTTATTATTTATTAAAATATCTGATGTTTGTACACCAAGACGGTCCTTACTTTTTCGGAAACAAAGGGCATAAGCCGGTCTACACGAGTGCACAGGATGGCCCCAGGAGTCGGGATCTTTCACACACTGCTCCAGTGACGTTTCGTTTCCTGTACAATTAAGCTTAGTAATCCAGATCGGCCGCAGTGTCTCGTTTACTGTTCCGTAAGCTACTCCGCCAAGGAATCCCATCTGGCGACAGGAAACATTAGCTGCTGCATCGTCCCAGTCCGTTGACCCGCAAACTTGACCCCATACTCCATGTCTGCGCACACTTATTTCTCCCCAAACCGTATTGACTGATTTATTATTTGTTTTGACAAATCTGATGTCGAAAGCTGTTAAGATGAGAGAAAAATAAAATATGTTACTTTATATTAGAGTGAACCATAAAGATGCAGTTTAAAATTAAAGGGCAAATTGTCTTACTTTCATTCATTGGACCATTAAAGCAGATTGCCGATGCTCGCTTCATGTTGCTACATCTCTCCGTTTTGTTCTGGTGTTTACATTTCAGAAGAGAGGGTTCGTTTCCGTTACAATGAAAATTGCTGCAAAACAAAATCACTTTATGAAAAAAAACTCTAATGATAATAAAAATGTATCTTTAACTGATAAGCATAAGGTTCATAGTTCATTCAAACAAGCATCTTTAATTTTTTTGTACAATAAAATTTCAAGGCGGTATGGTTAATATACAACCTGAACGCCACCTTAGGCATGGAGTCGTGTATGGAGACCTTGCCGAGTTTAGAGCTTGTGAGAGCTGTGCCATTATTGAAGTTTTGTTCCCGACACACGACAAGCGCGTCCTCCTTATCCCACTCGTCATCACAAACCTGGACCCAGCCAGCATCCGTCCGAATTTCCACAGTCCCCAAATTTGTTACTCCCCTGGATTTCAATCGAACTGCAATAAATCTATTAAAAATTAGTCAAAATCTCTTAATAGATGTTAGTTAAGAAAACAATAAACGTAGTGATCAGTACTGTAATTACAAACAAAAGAATTTACGTGATTTTCGTCTTAATCTGTGCATACATAATTTGGAAAAAATATTATAAATAGGCAAGGAATGTATGTTAATGAATAACAACTTGACAAATTGAATGAAAAAAAAATGTTTTAAGGAAATGATGCTTTCAATTTAAAAAATAACTGAGTAAAAAGTCCACTAGCAAGAGTCCTAAAAATTGCCGATATTTTCATTGCACACCTAAACTGAAGTGCGCCTTAGTAAAGACTTTCAGTACTTTCAGTACTTTGATTTGAAATATGAAAAAAAGAACACTATTAGGTATGTGTATATATTTTTTTTATTAAAAGAAAAATAAGTAACGTCAGGTGCCTGTGAACACTACATACAGTACAGATTTCTGGACTAGATGGATTTGCTTTGATATAACAACCCAACACAGTCGTAACAACCTAGAGCTATCGTAGTATAAGTAACCTCATCAACACTCTGACAATGTAAACAGGTAAAAACTAAACTCATTAAGTTGTTATAACAGGACACTCCATTTATTATATTGGAACAATCGGGTATCATGCTTGACAAGAAACTCGTGTGATTTCTCCAAAAAGAACACCCCTAAATTGTAGTGAGGAACTCACCTGAGTTGTTATAACAGGACACCCCTCTATTGTAGTGAGGGAACTCACCTGAGTTGTTATAACAGGACACCCCTGTATTGTAGTGAGGAACTCACCTGAGTTGTTATAACAGGACACCCCTGTATTGTAGTGAGAGAACTCACCTGAGTTGTTATAACAGGACACCCCTGTATTGTAGTGAGAGAACTCACCTGAGTTGTTATAACAGGACACCCCTGTATTGTAGCGAGGGAACTCACCTGAGTTGTTATAACAGGACACCCCTGTATTGTAGTGAGGGAACTCACCTGAGTTGTTATAACAGGACACCCCTGCATCCTCGTAGTGACGACAGTTGTGTACTCCCCAGCCGTTGTGTTGGCACTCACTGAGTGAATTCTCCGTCCCAGCACACTGGACGTTGTCTAGGAATATGGACCCTGATCCTTCCCCGAACGGTGAGTTAGAGTGGGCCTGGAATAACCAAGGATAAGAAGCACTTAACAGTGGATTAACACAAGTTGAAACCGCCCTCTGAACAGTGCAAGGTTTATCATCAGGGATCCATGTATAGTGGATGATTTTACCTTGGACAGGAATTACTTTCCTCATTTTTCAAAATAATTTCTCAAAATTGTGCTAATATATTTCTAGAATAAAAATCGCTGAATTGTGGTTATGAATATTTTGGGTTGAAATCTTATTTTTCTCAGAGCAATCATTGACAATGATATACAGTACCGAATATAATATGTTCTTAGTAAGTTACATTATAAAATGCGTCGGGTTAATGTACATGTTATAACTTAAATAATCCCGATATGTGATATAATGTCTGTATATAGCTGATAAAAATATACATGAGAGCCCTATTTCCAAACTGCCTCACATATAATATATATTTTCTTTGTTACGTTAAATTGATTATAGAAAAGCTATTAATTCGTTATTCATTCACTCTGTTTCAATGTTGCTTTTTACCACGTATAGAACTTCCAGAGTAAATGCGTCGGGGTCAATTGTCCTGCCATAAAAAGGGACAATATCGATAGTCTGAAATTATATAAATCTAATTTTCATTAAAAAAATGTCATATAATTGTATTGCATATATATCCAATTTCGAAGGAAAAAGATCCTTGTGCGAAAAAAAGTTTGAATTTATATGTGTTTTATCTTCAAATCTTCTAATGTTCCTCAATTTGCTTTAAATGGTAAACCCTCCTGAACCCGAATCTTATCGGGGCGCCTTTTTCCTTAACAAGGGGCCGATATGAAGACAGAAATTACTAAAATGTTTTTCATTGACTTTCTTCATAAATGTGGTAATTTTCATGTGTTAATTTTATGCACATTAAAAATAAGTAAAGCAAAGAGAAAACATAAATAACGAACTAAAAATAAATAAATAAAAAATGATATTATAATATTAAGTGAATTTATAATTTTTAGAGTATCGTCTGTTTAAAAAATGGTTTCTATATATTTTACTACAGAAACAGAATCCAGAGTGCCCTTTACCCTTCCCCACTGGTAGTTTTAGGTTTCTAAATATTGCACACCAAAAAAAAAATGGAATTCAGAATGTCCCTTACCGTTCCCCACTGGTAGTTAAGGTTTCTACAAACAACCTGGGCTTCCCGCTCTGTCCATAAATCGTCACAGACACTGCCCCATGGACCGGAAGTGTTCCGAGCAACCTCCACACGGCCGGTGGAACCATTCGAATCCCCTCCTACTAGACGTACATATATCTTATCTACAAATGTAAAAAAAAAAATAGAAAAAAAATCGGCCTCATTTATAGATTTAGATTGATAAATTTAAGGGTACTTAACACAAACAATAATTTGATGTATGGATTGATATATATATTTTTGACTGATATTGATTTGAAATGACATATAATAAATCCCTGAAATAAAAAGAAATCGTAGGTTTTCCGTGGTGCTTAGATATGAGACTTTGTATTGCTTTCTGTATAATTCCATACAAAATTTTGCACAAATCTTTAACTTCTTGACAAAATCGTATAAAATTCTCCCACTAAACTTGGTAAACATCATGAAGGTTACCAATTTAAATGTAAATCTGTGAGAAATATTGCTGATTTCTGAATAAAAGTTTGTTTGTGTTGTAAGTGGAAATTTTAGCGAGACGCAAATTTAGAGATTTGTCCTTAGAAATTTGTATTTTATTTTTAGCGACATGTAAAATTTTATACAATTCATTTTCAGTATATAAGAAGAGCGCCCCCTATGGTACCCCTGACCCTGGGGCCTTGAAATTCACATTTCTGGAAGAAGGGCCCTTGCTCATCATAACTATATAGGTAGTTCATCTGCTAAATACCTAGGAGCAGAGAAGAAAATTTTCAAAGATTTAATGTATTTTCACTATGTAATCATTATAGAGCCCCAACAAACACTAAAACCCCTTAACCTGGGGCAATGAAATTCACAATTTTGGTAGAGGCATTCTTGCTCATCATAACTATATACTTAGTTTATTTAATACCCAGGAGCAGAAAAGAAGATTTTCAAAGAATTAATGCACTTTCACTATACAATCAATAACGCCCCGCCATAACACCAGAACCCTTGACCCTGGAGCCATAAAATTAAAAATTTTGGAAGAGGCTTTCTTGTTAGTTTATTTAATACCCAGGAGCAGAGAACAAGATTTTCAAAGAATTAATGTATTTTCACTATATAATCAATAGAGCCCCGCCCTAACACCGGAACCCCTGATCCTGGGGCCATAAAATTCACAATTTGGAAGAGGCGCTCTTGCTCATCATAACTCTGTTCTTAGTTAGTTTATTTAATACCCAGGAGCAGAGAACAAGATTTTCAAAAAATCTTAATCTAAAATGATCTAAAAATGACATATTGTAAATATTTCTCAGAAAACTAAACAACATAAAAATCGTTCAGGAGACAAACGTAGTCATCAAAGTAATTTTAAACCTGTCTTGCGTTTTATTCCGTTTCGGTGTTCCTTGAGCACACGGAATTGATGAAAAATAGATGTTAAGAGTGTAGAAAGAAAATTGAACCAGAAGTATGGGTTTTATTGCAAAATCACTTTTAAGGCCATTATAGTATATTCATTTGATTTGACATGTTATTCATCTGTTAAAAATATCAATAAACTTAGAAATTGTTATCTCGATAAACAGTAATTAGTCCATTCAACTATACAAAATACGAGCAGAGAAAACACGGACCTCCAAAACATCAGAGGTGGGATCAGGTGCCATGTTGGAGTGAACATCCCCTGCCGACCATTCATACCGGCCGCGTACTCCTTGTCATGATTAGGAAATAACGAAAAAATATGTAATAAGCATTTGATATTAAAAACCTTAGACGCAATGTGCAACTGTTCATCTAAATGGGTTGTAGGATGTACACATGTGTTCCCATTAAAACAAGGCGCCCTTGTCGGGCCGTACCTCTCAACACGGGATGCTTAGTCTTCGTAGGAACCAGGGGCCCGTTTTACAAAAGGACTTTCGACTTAAGACCAAGATTTATTCTTCAAATAATTTTTTAATTAACATTTTATCAAAAATTCTTTTACACTTTTTAAAAGGAATGTGGTAAGATATTTTTACACAAACAATTTCAAAGAGAATTATTAATTTTTCAAAATTTTACAATCATCTGAAGTTTTTGGTCTTAGTCGTAAGTTCTTTTGTAAAACGGGCCCCCGATCATGTCTCTGGAAATTCCGGGATCGGGGTGATTTATCCTCTATTCACATAATTGTACTGTTTGTAGATTCTTTTGAGATCAGTTCCTTATCTTCACCCTTTCACGACAGTTAAACCAGTATAGATACTAATGCACAAGTGTATTGCCTTGTATTTATTCAACAACCCGCATATGAATTAAAAAAAAAATATGACAAAACTTTGTCATGGACAGGGTATAAAATTGGGCCAGTGTCAAGCAGTTATTTCGTCTCTTTCTCCTCCCTCTCTTTTTTTTTCTCTCCCTCTCTCTCACAAATGGCAGTCTTTATATTTTGATAAGGGCAGGTAGAGTCACGGTAGAACAGATTAAAAGAATTTATATGTTAAATGTTCATCGTTTTGGGCATTTATGCGTTATCCAGCTTGATCGTTCTAATAATTTTTCAATATGTCCTGTCCTAAACCACAAGAACTGCAACCTAAGTAGTGTTTTGTAGCGAAATGAATTAATTCTGTTCTGTACTTTGTTTTACCGAATCTATAAAGTGAGTCATTTGGTACATTGCAAAATAGATGACATCCTTCAGTTAACATTTGTACTTTCTTTTATGGATCTTTTATTCATATGTCTGTATTTTACATTGCCATTGGTATTTATCATCAACAATAAGCATACTAATGATATCCCTATGGCTCGTGGCCTCGTTACTAGGATGTAGCGAATACAAGGTCGACACCTTAAGTGTTCTTTTGCATACTTTTCCAAATGCAGCTCATCTATCACGCCTTTTTACGTCAAACCTCCGAAGACAGCCTGTTATACTAACGTATGTAAGTAAAGAAAAGCAATGTCATAAACCGCAACTACAAAATTGCGCCAAGTTGCTTAGTTAAACACGCGAATCTTGTCTGTCTGTCTGTCTGTCTGTGGTAGTAGTTAAGAACCATATGTAGTTAAATCATGGCATGAAAAACAGAGTAAGTCAAACTTGAATCATAAGCGTTTTTAAATACACAGGTCGGCTTACAATAAATTATATGAATGGAAAATTCGTAATATTGGCTAATGTAGACGTACACGATACGTAGGACATATACTATCCCTAACCATAAGTCGACCAAAAGTAGCATTGTCAAACAAAGCATCATCAACTGAAACTCGTTCTTCTTCATCAATCAGAGATAATTTTTGCATTAATTAAAAACTGCATTAACAAAAACGACACATAGATGATAAATTTATCAGTCGCTCACAGATCATGAAATACAAAAGAACGTATGATTTTTTTTTGCTTACTTTAGTTAAATACTAAAGTGTGCATTCCAGAAAAGCTGCACGTCAAATATGTAATATTTTTATCTGATCATTTTTTTTCCAGATTGCAATGTTGTGTCTCGAGTTAGTTTTGACCAATTCTCTCCTGGAAATATATAGTGAAATTACTAGCTATGTCTATCATTGCAGCCCGGAGGACCGGGCTGCTCTATACATATAAGTTTAAGTGTTGGTGTATGGGGATTGGGGTGGGAGTAGTTATGTAGAATTAAAGGTTTTCTACACATTGAAAAGATTGTTAATAAGAATGTTCTTTCCCCTTTATAAATTACGAGATACATAATATATTTACTTCCATAAGGTGAACTTGTAAAAATATATATGTTTTTCATATTTAATATATAAGTTACTTATCATTTACTATCGAAACAAAAGTGTCCCTTTTTTTAGAACATCGAATTTTACTTCTCGGATAAAAACGTACTCTGCACAGTTCGTGTTTTATATTCTAAAATTGAAACTTAATACATTTTTAAATATAAATGGTGCGTGTGTCTAACTTCAATTTATATTTTATGCAGCCAACATTTATTTGAGGATGTGATCAAGTTTAAAATGGTATCATTTTTGATTGATTTTTATCCGACTACAAGTTTTTTAAAATATTTGCGACTATCGTCTACATCAATTAGACGCATGCCTTTTTACACATATCGAAGCGGTTTGTTGATCAAGACTCTTTCATTGTTTACTTTATATATTTCCCGGGCGACAATTGATGGTTACATCAATGTTTTCTTGTCTTCACTTGTTTTTGAGATTATCTTAAAAGAAAGCGAAGGTACCAAATATGTTTTCGTTGTATACGACCTGTGAATTATTTATACTAAATAAATCGTAAATGAATCGTAAAAGGGAAATAAAAAGATACGTCATATGGTGTACAGTGTGGATGACCTTGGTTGACCAAGGCAGTGCGCAAAAAACGAGTCGTGCCTGACCGTACGTTATGGCTACTTACAAAACGATAAAGACGGTGACCCGTGCTACTAGTCCGGTGGTACAGAAAACTGTACAGGATTGTTATTGTCATCATAGGAAAGATGGAATACAAATTGTAAAAAAAATATTAAAGACATATTTGTCTGTATATTAGAATTTCCTGTTTTAGTTAAAATACATGCATTCTCATCCCAGGCAACATATATCTTAATTTTGCATGTCCAAACTCGAGTGTGAATATTTGTCATCTCAATATCTGTATTCATCTAATTAGTCCCCTACCAGTGAAACCTGAGGGGACTATAGGTTTCTTTCCTTTAAGTCCCTCTGTCCGTCTGTCCCTCTGTCTGTCAGTCAGTCAGTCAGTCATTCTTTGTTTTCCGCACTTTTGGGCTGATTTTTGATAAGGGAGTGAATCTTGACGAGATACATATCGTGTGTACTTTTTGCACCGCTTCAATGAATTTTGAAATCACGGAATCACGACCTTTTTAATTTTTAAGGGTTTTCCGCAACGCTTGCAGGTATTAAGCTGATTTTTGGTATGTGACTTTACGAGTTATAGATCAAGTTTTAAGGCATTTTCAATTGTTAACGAGAACCAGATTATACTTGCCGGTAGGGGACTAGTATATTGCTATTGTAGTACTCACAGAATGCTTATAATGGATTTTTTTTTTTTTTTTTTTTTTTGAATGACCATCTTCAATATAGGGTACAGGTTTGCCAGACTGGCTGTGTAGAGGTATCATCCCCTGGTGCCCTTTGTATTCAAGATGCACTAGTTTTATATTAGAGTACTGCCATTACTACAAGATTTTTTTTTTTTTAATTTACCTTATATCTATCATTTTTATTTAATTGTGTTTTCTTTTATTATATGGTTTCTATGCTTTTGATCCAGTGTGGTGATGCACTTCTCAATGTCAAACTTAATCACTAGTATGTTATTATCCTTAATATAGAATTGTAATCAATGTTATCATTTTGTAATAATTGTTCATGCCCCCCGTGGGCCCTTGATTGGTGAATAAACATAATAATAATATAATGGATTATATTTGAGTCTATAGATGCAATAATAATTTGGATAAAAACAATTATTATTCGAGTACACTCGTGATTTTGTACGGGGAACACCTGTAGAGGAGTTAAAAATATATATATCTAGTCTCGCTGAAGATTTGCATTTTGTGAATCAAAGTTTAACCTCTTAAACTTCATTTCCTTGAGGAATCTCGCATCAACTCTCTGTAGTCTTAATGTGAAAGCGCTTTAAGGACATACGCAACGTACCTCACTCCTGATAATTTTTCAAGATATTATTGATTTAATTTTGCAAATATAGATACTTTTTTCACATAAATTATATATGGATGACACATTTGTGATGTAATCTATCCTATCAATTCAGAAAATTTGCATAAATAAACATTTTATAAAAATTTCTACCCCACTCTCTATATAGAATATAGAGTAGATTTTATAGAACAGATGTTCAATGAAAGATTATTTATGAGAAAAAAGTCAAAAAACAAAAAAGGGGGGGGGGGGGGTCCTGTCCTCAAGCACCTGTGATTGTAGTGCCATCAAATGTTCATTGATAAAAAAAAAATCAGCATGCATTACCAGGGATTTTTGAAAGATAACAACTGAAGAAAATTCTTAGATGGTTCAAAGAAAAATATATAAAAATTACTCAATATGCATTTTAGATGTTTCTTTTTATCAAAACTTGTTTTAGAAGAAGTGTACGACACCATATATACACATCTAAATATAGCAAACAGTTTCTTCAAGTATCGGAACTCTTCAACTCCATGGAAAAGGACAAAAAAGTTCAAACTACGCTGCGTACATGTATGTCCTTAAACATATGAACAAACTAATCAATACTCATATCTAATCTCCTAATTCGTTAAAACCTTTTTGGACAGATCACAAAATGAAATACACGTATGATAAAAATTACACACACAAAAAAGAGAAAGAAATGACAGAGACTCTGAGAGAACCCATTTCTCTCGTCCTGTTGGCCTGATGTACAACTTTCACGGGGTTAAGTTTTATGTTGCCCCACAGGCAATAGCGCGTGCGTGGCTAATTATTTATGTGATGTTCTGAAACAACTAGCTAGTTACAAACTTACATCTTAATATTACAAGAATAATTAATTCCATGCATTTTAAACAGCCCTGTGTGTTTGATAACTACTGCTTTTTGACTAAGTTACGTAACTGGGGGCGATACATGCCGGTTAAGTTTTTAGGACCCTAGAGTTACGTTAAAATCACCTGATTGATAATCGTCTAATACACTTGTCAATTTTGATTTATGTATCCTTAAATAACAATTATCGTTTTATTCATCCATTTGTCAAGTTTTTATTTGCAAGTCCATGTTTTTGACAAACGACACAAGCAAGAAAGACATATTTTCTGTTTTGTTTGATATAATTGTATGACCTACAATTCAATAAATGGCCTTTTTACTTACTTCATAAAATAAGTAGATGTGTGAAATTTATTTGGATGAGATCAAACATAAACTTTAACATCTTTATTTTATGTCGGAATTTTAAAAAGGTGACTTCTTTATGAAATGGACAGTCTGTACCTTATCCGAAATGGACAGTCTGTACCTTATCCGCTCATAGTAAGCACATTCATTAATCGCGTCTGGCCTTCTTAATTCACGTGCGTGCACTTTACGTATAACTGACGGACCGGCGTTGATAACAAATTTAGGAAAAGGCACATCACTACACAATATTTTGTTCCAATTAAGTACAAACTAAGTACTATAGTCCAAAATGAATCCAAGTGAAGAGCAACCCAAGTGGTAATGGCTAAATATTGGGAGAATTTTACATCAGATTTATTAAAGGCTTCGTGGAGGTCTTAAGCAAAATGACATATTTCAAGGAATTTTTCAAGCATGTCTTTACGCAGAGGGATCGCAAGAACTTTTACTCAACTAAACGACAAAATATTAAATAATTAAATTAATGGTATAATGCAGTCAGGATAACAAAAGATTAGCATAAACGTACCTTCAGCGCCATCAGCAAATTTTAATCCAATATATCCAACAGCAAATAACACTCCAAAGAAAAATGTTCCATGCACGCCCATTACTTTTTAAAAATTTTCTTATGTCAGATCAGAAAATCACACCGGCACAAGCACTTCTCGAATTCATTAACATACGATTAGACAAGATTTACGACTTTTCACAATTAAATAAGGAATATACATTAAAAACAAAGTTCCCTTCTAATATGTGCAGGAATATACAAAACTTCTGTGACAGAATCACATGTTCCTTGTTGTAGGACCTTTGAGAAATTCTTAGAAATATTTGTTTCCCGGCTTCTCCCACAAGAAAAAAACAAGATGATGGCAAAGGTCTAAAGTTGCGACGAGAATTATATTAAATATAAACTAGTGACACTGTCATGCATGATCACCCTAGGGTTAAACAATGCCATAAAGTCTACATTACGAAAAACGTTCGTGTGAATTTGCCGAGGGGTTCCGCGTGAAAATGTGTTTACGCAAGCGCAGTTTTCAGTACGCGAACAAACAGTAAGTCTGAGTGACATGTTTACAAAAATGAATAAATTTTATTTGTTGATGAAGTTTAATAAAAAGATGATAATGTATGTGATTTTAACATCAATTTCTAATGAAAAGTCATACTCGATCTTAAGGTGTAAGACAGAGAGCATGTACAAGACCTTTACTTTTTTGAGTTATTAATTTTAATTACTACTTAAAAATATACCATTAAAACCGATGAATTTTTTGCATATCAATAAAATTTTTGATATAGCTGACTAACGTGAACCTTTTTGAAAAGTGAATCATTTTTAATCGACTAAATGACAGAAAAATAGCCCATTCTCATCGATTTCTCAAATACTTGTAAACTTACTACAATTTGACGAAATGAATTAACCTATGTACTTTCTTTCCACAAATTTCATTTAAAAATAAACTTTGTTGTTATGACTGGAAAGATAGTACCAAGTTTTGTTATATCGTATAATATAAGTTGAAATAAGCTTCATTCCTTATAATTTAATTTCAGTGCAGACAATGAGACAATTTTCCCCCCAGAATAAGGCTTCACATTGATTTAATTTTAAAAGTAACGTCAAGCGGAGTAATATGTTTTTTGACGTAACTCATTGTGACGTAGGCAAGTTATGTTATATAAAATGGATAAAATCTTTTATCCAATCAAATGACGTGTTACAAGTAAAATTAAACTATTTAAAAATAAACTTTGTTGTTACATGTATGACTGGAAAGACAGTACCTTGCATATAAAGCATTATTATATAATCTATAAATTACTATATTTAAAATTTATTAAAAAAATTAAATTCAAAATTTTATGAAAAAAAAACAACAACAATATACTGATTGACCAAAACCTTTATTGTGAGTGTTTGACGCGCTTGGTAGAGCACCGATTTCTTCCCACTCACTGCCTTTTATCATGCAGCAAAATATAATTACAGTAAAACTATGTTTAGTATAAACATCAGTCATCTAAATGTAAATGTATACTGTATTTAAAGTCTGGATGTTACTATGGTGCCAATGTTTGAGCTATTGAGACGATCATATGTCTTTGACTTATGATTTATCACAAAAAGTGGGTCCTTGATTAAATCTACATTGAATCCCTCCTCCACCAGCTCCAACTTCCGGTGCTTCATTGTCTGAGTTGTTACAAACTCTGCGACCACCCTGATGAAAATGGGGCGAGCATAGTGCGGGAGGTGCTTGAATACATGTTCGTAGAGTTTTTTGAGAGTTTCATCTGTCATCAGATGACCGTCTTCTAGCTGAACGGCTGCCATGCCAGCCTTACCGTCACTTCCTAGGGAGAGAAACAAGAGGCCCAGGGGCCACAGCGCTCACCTGAGCACATCGGGCTTGAATTTAACCCCCCCCCAGGCATTCATCATTTGAACAAACTAGAATCTACACTACCTGAGGATGATTCCATATAAATATCACTAGTCATAGCTTTGAAGTACTTGAAAAGAAGATTTTAAAAGATTTCCCTATATATCCCTATGTAAAATTTGGGTCGGCCATTTTGGCCCCACCCTAGCTCCTTTTTTGAACAAATCTGAATCTACACTACCTGAGGATGATTCCACATGAGTTTCATCTTTCCTGGCCCACTGGTTCTTGAGAAGAAGATTTTTAAAGATTTTTCCTATATATTCCTATGTAAAACCGGCCATTTTGGCCCCACCCTAGCCAGGGGGTCATGATTTGAACAAACTTGAATCTACACTACCTGAGGATGATTCCACATGAGTTTCGTCTTTCCTGGCCCAGTGGTTCTGGAGAAGAAGATTTTTAAAGATTTTTCCTATATATTCCTATGTAAAACTTGCTAGAAGTTAGGCCATTTTGGCCCCACCCTAGCCCCGAAGGGGTCATGATTTTAACAAACTTGAATCTACACTATCTGAGGATGATTCCATATGAGTTTCGTCTTTCCTGGCCCAGTGGTTCTTGAGAAGAAGATTTTTAAAGATTTTTCCTATATATTCCTATGTAAAACTTGGGTCGGCCATTTTGGCCCCACCCTAGCCCCGGGGGTCATGATTTGAACAAACTTGAATCTACACTACCCTACCTGAGGATGATTCCACATGAGTTCCATCTTTCCTGGCCCAGTGGTTCTTAAGAAGAAGATTTTTTAAAAATGCCATTAATTTTTCTCTAATTCATAATTATCTCCCCTTGGAAAAGGGCGTGGCCCTTCATTTGAACAAACTTGAAAAATCCCCTTCACCCAGGATACTTTGTGCCAAGTTTGATTGAAATTGGCCTATTGAGAAGAATCGAAAATGTGAAAAGTTTACAGACAGACGGACAGACAGACAAAGACGGACGTTTTTTTTTAAATGTGATCAGAAAAGCTCACTTGAGCCTTCGGCTCAGGTGAGCTAAAAACTTTGTAAAAACTAGTTAAACCTTGAGTAGTCAACTTCATGTAAATCGGAATTCATGATCGTAGTCAAAAGCGAGTGCAGCGAGTTCTATACAAAGATTTCGCTTTCTTGTGACGTATAAATTTCTCTTAATGGACGCCATTTCTGGAGATCAAACTAGACTAAAGTGAATTTTCCTTGTTCAGTCTTTAAGCAACCAATTTTACACTATTTTCTAGATACATATTTTGACCCATTCAGATTCTGTTTTGGAAGTAAAATTGTGTTATATCTGAGGCAGATTAAAAGATGATAGGCTTTTGGATTGCATCCAGTATAACCTACGCTCGCCCAGCAGTCGCATTGTTAAACATGTTATAACCCAACAAAGTATTAAATTTATTCAATTTAAAATAGAAGTACATACCGGAAATTGGTATGCCATACACATTGACGTCATGAATAAAATTAAGTTGCGTCATAACATGAGCCACCTCTGTTGTTGAAACATTCTCACCTTTCCACCTTCAGGTAAAAATGAATATGTCTTAAGGGTCTTAAAATGTTCCAGAACCCAGGCTAGAAGTTAGAATAAGCATTAAAAATGTCTAGTCCAGTTTCTCACCTGAAGGTATCACCAATTCTGTCCCGGAAATACACATAGTAATCGAAGTCTAGGTACACAGAGTCACCAAAATTAAAGAAAGTGTCGCCATTTTCGAGAACATCTCGTACAATTTTCTTATCATCCATTTCTTTTGTTCCCAGGTAAATTTTATTAGTATTGGGTGGCATTACAGCTAGAAGCAAACCGGTTTCACCTGTAAAGAAAATTGACTGTCAAAACCTCTACTAGTATACTCTAGTTTTGAAGACAAAATCTAATTATGTAATACAGAAGTTGTGTATAACTTTTCAAAGCAAATAACATTGTTTGTTTGTTCAAGGTACCTTTCGAAAATATAAACATGCAACTCCACTCATATGGTACCCAACTTCGCCAATGAAATATTGATGAATCAAATTATATGAAAAATACACATGTACATGTCCATTTCTTTCAAGCCTTACATGCTTAATATGCCTATTGATAAGAATTGTTCTTATAAGTTTCGCAAAAAGAAAAAAAAGCGGAACAGTTTTTTTTTTACCTGGGTTTATGAGAACACACTTTCCTTCCTTCCCGCGGATTGGCTTGTTCGTTATTGGATCGAATTTTACAATGCAGAATCCTTTTCCTTTGCCGTTCATCCATCTCTGTAAGCACAAGACTATATTGCTTGCCCCTTTTCTTTACTTTAGCTTTCTCTAAATGTAACCATACTGTGAAACATGAGGTATCTAAACATTCTAAGAGTTGATGTGCATTTCTTTGGTCGTAAAATCAAACAAAAAAAACTTGTTATACTAACTATGAGAGGAGACCATCTTCCTAGCGCACCGACTTTATTACAACAATTCAGTAAAATAGCAGTTCCCTCTGTGGCGCCAAAAAACTCGTAGATTTGAGGAATATTAAAACGTGTCTTGAATTCCCTCCAAATGTCACTGCGAAGTCCGTTACCAAATGCCGCTCTTACACAATGAACGCCGTCCAGTGGATTCTAAAAGGTTGATATACAACGAACCATTTAGAAATATAATATTGATGCAACGGAATAATTAAGGGTAACAAATCATCTTTATTATTTTAGTGATTGTACCATCAGGACACACAAAATAATGTGTGTTCAACTCTGATTCTGAAGGGTTTTTTTAATATACGTTGTATAAACCATTAAATCTAAATTTACTAAATGGCTACCTTTGGCTGACGGAGCAGATATCGACACAGCTCTCCTATGTACTGAATGACGGTCACTTTATATTTACGGACATCTTCCCAGTAATGACTTGCTGAGAACTTCCTCCGTAGGACTATGGTCGCACCTGTTATCATAGGTATTTAAATAAAATAATAAAATCTTTAAAAATGACATTTTCTATGAGAAAATATAATTGACGTCCTCATTTTCAGAACACAGTACATGTATATACTTTCATAAAATATGAGCACTGCAAGACCATCCCTTGCAAAGAGTCAACTTCTACTCGCATCAAAACGAAGGAAAACAGTTGTAAAAAAAAGCAAATTAATCTGCATCTCTTCATAACAAACTGAGAGCAAACAACTGACATTGCAAATGTTTCAAGTCGTTTAGATGTATACACTTTATATTTCGAACACCGTATGGCATGGTAAGAAATGTCAGTACATGATTTACCTTCTCCTATTGTATTAAAGACGCCAACACAGGTGGCAGCACTGTGATATAATGGTGTCACAACATACGTCACATCCTGCTGAGTGAAGTCGATAGCGCGGTAACCATGTGTTTGTCTGATTGCTTTGGCTTGGTTAATAATTGCTGGCTTTGGTAATCCTAAGGGGCAAAATTGACACTTATTTGAATTCTTAAACCTTTTAAGATCAATTCAGGCTTGGCGCTAATCATATTTATTGTATGATTATTTTATCATCCAAAAATATTTGCAGAAAATTCTCTCTCCATTACAGAAAATTCAGTTCAATTTAGGTACAAGTTTTTCCAAATGATTTAAACGCAAGACTACGCAAAGGCGAGAACGGTAAGTAATCTTAATGAATCAATTATTGAATACTGACTTTTATTGTACAATTTTCTTTTGAACTGCATGATAGTTACGAGCGGTCTAAAAACACTGACCCGTCGTGCCGGAAGTATAAATGTAGCAGACTGGGCTTCGGAGCGTCACCTTCTCTCGTGTTGATTTGCAGACAGCTACAGGAAGAGACTGCATCATTTGTTCATCAAACGATGTAAATTTATCGGGGAGCGAGTCAGCTGTGGCTCCGGAGACAAAGATTTTAAAGTCTGCAGGAAGTTTGTCACTAACACTCTTAATTGTATCTAGAAGTTCAGGACCTGTGAAGTGAATTAAAATTTATGATTTTAGTCTTTTTTACAGCATATAAAAAGTTTATTAACTTCTTTTTTATGTTCTTGTTACATTTATATATATGATGCTTAATATCAGTTAAGAAGGACTTGTATAAATGAAGTAAAGTTAGTAGATCTTACCTTTACCGACAATGAGATACTTAGTCTGGCTAGCTGTTAGAGAGTGAATTAATGGCTCTTCTTGTAGATGATAGTTGATAAAAGCTCCGGCAAGTCCCAACTTCAGAAGACCTATGATTATAAGCATTACAAATTACTGTCAGGATGTTTTTAAATCCGCAAAGACGTTAAAAAGGGTTTGTCAAAAGTATTTATGGTTATTTTTATGTAGACTGTTGTAACAATAATATAACGAGACATGATCTATGATGTAACACTTCGCCATTTTATTGAGAAATTACTATTCTACACAAAAGTAATTAGAATGTATCAAATTTCTTGGAATTCAAATCTTACCTAGAAATGTCCAGAGAAATTCTGGGGAATTATATATCATCATAGCCACTGCATCGCCTATACTGAGGTTCCATCGAGCCACTATATTTGCTACTCTACTGGCCATAGAGTTGATCATTGAATAAGTGTAAATTTTATCTTCAAACACGACGAAGACTCTCTCAGGGTGGAGTCGAGAAGTCTCTTCGAACATATCTATTACAAGCCGTCGTGACGTAACATCTCGGGTGGTGAGCTCTTGAGGTTTTCTGATCCTGCGGATTGTCCTGATGTCGTCAACAAGGCTGGGGTAGAAAGCCTTCCAGGCCAGGACCCCGCCCCCCAGGCCACCCGCCACGGCCGCCATCAGTCCGTCCCTACCCACCATCCTCACCTCCAGGGAATACAAAGGGGTATTATGTAGTATTCAAGCTATTATCTGTTTGAAAGAAAGGTTTCATTCATCTTTTATTTCCTCTGTTACAGAGATTTTTGACATGACAATGACATATAAATTATAACTCAATCATAATGTGAGAAAAAAAAAATACATATTGTAAGTAATAAAAAGAGAAAAAAAATAGAACAAAAATACACAAAACTGAAAAAAAGCAGAAAATATTACACATATGATACACTATTTTATGTAAAGGATAGCTATCCAAGCAGGGAGTGGGGGCGGTGGGGGGTTATCCATTTACAAATCTGAGATTGCATTGTCTATTGTAGAGTGCACAAGAGGAGACGATGTGTACGTAATTCAGTTTTCTAAACTGGATTTCTTTTTCTGCTGACAAGATTGTAAGTGGTGGTCTTCCAAGAAGAATGTTGAATAACTCATCTTCAGGAAGACCACATAGTTCAGCTTCAAGGTGAACGGTAAACGATTCTGAGAGAGAGTTCCACCATATGTTATGTTGGTTCAAGAGGGCTGGACAGGATATTGTCGCATGTGAAAAAACGTCTGTAATGGGGTAATCGCATAACATGCATGTAAACGGATTTTGAGCGGGTTTTGATGCAATAAGTTTGCAGATGAATTTAAAGTTTCGAATTTCGTTGAAAGAATCTGCAATTTTCCACATGTTGAATGGTTTCGATGTACAAAATATAGCATTAAATCTGAGAAAGTCTGGATCAAACTCAGTTCGATCGTTGCGTTGGAGAGTGTGGTTTTTGTGAACAGCTGAACGCACTATAGATTTCCATGATAATTTTGATGGGAACGATCCAGAAGAGAGCCAGGTATTCAAGTAATGTGAGAGTTCATACGTCTGAAGAAGGAACAATGCATCCGGAATGAATCCCATTTGGTCTCCAGTTCCAGTTAGTTGATAGAGGAAGGAGAAAAGGCGTGATGTAAAGATCTTTTTTGAAAGATAGTTGAGATCTAGTCTACAAAGTCTGCCAAAGAAAAGAAGTTTCCTGGTATCAATTTCCGCAGTGATTGGTAGAAGACCCATGAGTTGTTCACAAATATCTGATCTGGTAAGTTTAGGAAGGTTCAAAACTTGTTTGCATATTCCGTGTTGGAGTGTGTTGAGGCGTCTTATATCTTGGTTCACCATGTGGTTCCACAGTTCACAACCATAAAGAACGGATGGCATGACTATGGTTCTATAGAGATGAGACATCGTCAGAGGGTTTACAAGAGATATATTCATGTCAGTTAATGCGTAGAATGATTTCCATCCCTTGAAGCAAGCGTTGATGACTCGAGATCTTGATTTAGTATAGTTGCTAATAGGAATTCCTAGATGTTCATAGACGTTTCCGTATTGTATTTTAGAGTCTCCTAAGTTAATGTCTTTTTCTGCAGGATGACTTTGGCCTTTAGCACGGAATTGCAGGATGCTTGACTTAGAAGCGTTGTATTCAAAACGCCATAGACAGGCATATCGGTACGCAATGTTCATCATCGACTGCAGAGATGAGGGACAGAGTGCAATGCATGCGATGTCATCTGCGAGAGCTGGAGAGTGGTAATTGTTATCGAATATAACAGCACTAGCATGGTCTGAGTTCTTGGGTTGTAGTTCACTTAACAAGTCGTTAATAAAAACAAGATAGAGAAAAGTTGAAAGAACACCTCCTTGCCTGACACCTTGTTGCACGGGGAACCAACAAGACATAGTTTGGTTAACAATTACAGCGCTTTCAGTGTTGATATGACAGTCGTCGATGATTTTCCAGATTTGACCTCTGATCCCTAATTTATGTAATTTTAACATCAAACCTTGCCTCCAAACAGTATCAAACGCTTTACTTGTATCTAAAAAACTTATGTAGACATTACTTTCCATCTCAAGATTGTGATACAGAGTTTCATGTAGATTAAATGAGGCTGTAGGACATCCTAATCCTTTCTGAAAACCTTGCTGTTGTGTATTTGGAAAAGGTTGAGACAGTTCCAAGGAAGATATTTTGACAGAAATGATTTTTTCGAATATTTTGAAGAGACAAGGCAACAGGGCAACTGGGCGGTAGCTGTTACATGAGTGTTTCGGTTTAGAACCTCCTTTATATATGGGAGCGATTAAGCCGCGTTTCCACTGCAAGGGGACACAACCGACGCTAATTACAGCGTTGTACAGTTTGCTGAGACAAGCAACTATGGAGGTGCCGGAATGAAGAACGTGTTCATTGGTAATATAGTCGACACCAGGTGCTTTCCTACGTTTGAGAGAGGATATGGCCGTAATGACGTCACTATGCGAGATGAAAGTGGAGCTATCGGAGTTGCCGCATTCTTCCTTGATACGCATGTATTCTGAGATTACTGTGTCTTTGAACTGATCATCGAAGTTTTTGTTCTCGCTGTTTTTATAGACATTTTCAAAGAAATCAGCGAAGGCATTTGCTATCCCGTATGGCTCCGAGCGGATGTCCCCGGAAGCTTCACGGATCTCAGGAAAAAATCTGGAAGATCGTGGGCGCCTTTGCTTGACTAGTTTCCAGAATAGACGCATGTCAAGTTCAGCAGCTTCATCTATTTCCCGATATGTTGACTGGAGGAAAATGTCGTATTCCTTATCATGGGCATTTCTGAAAGCACGTTTAGCTCGATTATATTCGCGGTATGAGTCGAACTGCATACCTCTTGGTCTCCCATCTTGGATCCAGCGCCTGCGCTTAGCTCGCTCTGTCACGTGAAATTCTTTGACAGCCTTCGTCCAACCGGGTTTGGTATGTGGGTTAAACTTGGATGTAGGAATACAACGAGTAGAGACAGATGATAAAATTTCTATCACTGCTTGATTGAACTGTTCAATATCATCAGCTGAGTGAATGTCAATATTAGTTATGTTCCCCAAACGAAGTTGGGGAACATATTGTTTTTACTCTGTTTCTTATTATTATTATTTTTCTTCTCGGGAAAATTTTGTCCGCGAATGATCTTGTAAAGTACACATCCGATTAAGGGGAAACCTTTTTAGGGTAAGTAGGCATGTTATGTAGATTTGCGGAACGAAGGTCATTTTGCGCGCACGTGCTTGCAAGAGCGCGCACGTGCAACACGTGAAATGACCAATATGCTTGAAATTGCCGTAACTTTTACATTTTTCGATGTAATGCTTTGATATTTAGAATATATAGACATATTAAAAATGTAGATAAGATGACATTGTCAACATGCAATTTTGTGTGCACGTGCTTGCAAGAGCGCGCACGAGCAACACGTGAAATGACCGATTTAATTGATATAGGCGTAAATTTTTACCTTTTTAATGAAATGCTTTGAGACTCATAATATAAGGATACAGTAGTAGCATAGACAATATGACATGGTCAAAATAGCAAGATCTCACGCGCATGCACGTGCGCTTCGCTCTGATTGGCTGAAACTAAAGTCTCAATATCTTTCTTGTTTTTTGATGAAATCCTTTGAAATTTTGTACATAGCCATGCATTAGGATATCCTACAACATGATACCTGGTATATAACAATTTTCATGAAAACACGTGCATGCACGTGCGCTGTAATCTGATTGGCTGAAACTTTAAATAGCTATAACTCCCTTGGTTTTCAATCAAACAGGATGGGATTTGGAACATAGATAGATATAATAGACTTCTACAAGAGGGTATGGTCACTATGCACATCCATACACGTGCGTGTACGTGCGCTGCAATCTGATTGGCTGAAACTTTAAATAGCTATAACTCCCTTAGTTTTCAACCAAACAGGATGAGATTTGGAACATAGATAGATATAATGAACTTCTACAAGAAGGTATGGTCACCATGCACATCCATACACGTGCGTGAACGTACGCTGCAATCAGATTGGCTGAAATTTTAATCAGCTATAACTCCCTTGGTTTTCAACCAAACGGAGTGGGATTTAGAACATAGATAGATGTAATGAACTTCTACAAGAAGGTATGCCAACATGCTCATGTATGCACGTGCGTGCACGTGAAATGATTAAAATCAAAAATACACTTGAATGAGCGTATGTTTTAATACTTTTAGATTAAATACTTGAATATTTAGTATATTAAAGTATATAGATTGTGTAGACAAGATGATATGGTCATTACGCACATGCATTCACATGCGCACGCGTGCAATGCTAAAATTTGAATGAACTTGGTACCCTTCTGGGTAAACATTGTTAAAGTCTCAAATGCATAAAGTTTGTCTTATTTAATGAAGCTTACAGGGAAAATGGCACCAAAAGGGAGATGGGGAGCGTTTGGGGAACATCTGTAACGGTCCCCGTTACAATTAGCACTAGTTAGTTTTTGCAGTTCAGCGTCGGTGCACAGTTTGTATTCCGTTATAGCCTCTGTGCTAGCTTTATGCCATGGTAGGAGTTTACTGGAAGAGTTTTGCAAGATAATTCGTTTAGTTTGAAAATGAAGGTTGCACACCACAGGTAAATGATCGGATGTTAATGATAAAGATCCTTCTTTAAGAATCTCATAATGACGTACAGTGACATCATTATTAAAAAGAATGTAATCTAACATGGTTTGAGTTGGTAAAAAAGTGAACAATTCGCCCTGAATAGGAAAATCGATTAGGGGAATTGAAAAATTACATTGATCTACAAGTTTGCAAAAAATAGATGATTTTGCATCATTTGTGTGCAATTCACGAAGTAAACTTGCGTTGAAATCACCAGCAAAAATAACATCACCATACTGAGAATAATACTCATATAAGCCGTACATAATGTCTACAATGTACCTATAATGATTAATGTCGCTGTCATATGGCAGATAAACACCAAAAACATAAATAGGGGTATTTTGCTGCGACATGACCTGTATACCTGCGAGACATTCTGTTTGAATACCCTCTATTTGTTTTACAGAGAATAGCAAATCTTTTTTGATTAAGAGAGCTATTCCCCCTTTACCACGCACTGGAGATAAAGAAGCATGCAGTTGTTTATCACTATGAAGTTTAACAACACTAAAGTAGTTTGCATGAATACTATCTAGGTAAGTTGCGGAATAATTGTTAAGTTTATGTTCACATATTATGGCAACATCACATTGAGTTTTGTCTAGTACAGCGCAGACTGGTAAGGTAGACGAAATAATACCCCTGACATTCCAAGTTAATATTTTAAACATTGGAAATGATAATGAGAACAATAACAACAACACAATATATGCTGTTAACAATATAAATAAAAGTGTCATTTTATTTGTTTTCATTGTTTTATTGGGAGTCCCAGTCTTCCTCGGATGTCCGCTCTTCACAGATTTTGCTCCAATCGCGAATACTGTGCCATTTTCTGCAGCTGATGCCCTCTGGCCAGAAATCGGATGCATCGACGATGGAAGCGTCTTGCGGGGAGACATTGACTTTCGCTGATCGGATAGAGAATCTACCTCTTGGTTTGAAAAGTGTCAGGTGTGTTACGTGTACACCTTTCTGTTGAAGATAGTTTTTGATTCCATCATAAGTTGTCTGTTTCTTTATGCCAGATATATAATATCGCGCTGCCCTTTTGTATGTCACTCCTAGGAAAACATCAGCTGATCCTGGGTCATTACTACTGATGCACGGTGCTTCATTATTCGCTGGGCGTGCAGGTTTGTTACTTGTTTTCGTGGGGGGGTTTCGAATGAACAATATTTAATGTAGCAAGCGGATTTGACTGTGTGTTCTTGTCTTCCCCCGTGCTGTCCTTGACCAGATGACCAGACTGTACGTTGTGTTCATTATTAGGGTCTTCCGCTTCCTTCGGAAGACCCTACTGTTATTCTATTGTTTCTTATTATTCTTTTTTTTTTCCCGCTCGATTTTTGACAGGCGATTACTCAAAGACCTTTGGACTGATCGTTATGAAACTTTCAGGATAGATAGCTTGTAGTTAAACCTATTTAAACCTGTTTTCAGTTTTTTGATGCATGCCTTTATTTGTGAGTTATTGCCCTTTAATTGAAAATTTTTGATGCCTCGTTTCCACTGAAAATCTCAAAAATGACATAAGATATTTACACGAAAGTTGGAGAACTTGTAGCCAATACATTGTAGATGTGCACAACGATAAAATTATATAGCTGATTCCTTAAAGTTTTGAAGCTATAAAACGGCAAATTTTAGTAATTTTTTTTCTTTGAATTTTTGCTACTTTTTGTGTAATAACTTTTAAACCGAGAATAATTTGGTAAGAAATATATTACAAAAGTTGTGGGTAATTACGAGAGCTTTCATATTTGATTAACGAAAAGGGGCTGGCCCCTATAATTAGGGGTTAATAGCTCATACACGCTTTTTTCTGATAGCTAAAAATATTGGTATATTATGAAAAAGTTTGACTGAAATAGTTTCGAACTTATAAAATCTTGTCATTTGATATAAAAAGAAATAAACTTCCAGCTATATTTAATTGTTTTTTTTTATAAAACAAGTACGTATGTGAGAAACCTTTCAGGAACAAGTTGTCTACTAGCCAAGCCTTTACTGCATACATGTGCACATTTTTAGTTGATGCATCTAAAAGATATAGTTTTGATTCGGTGTTTCTTTGTTTTCTTTTTATTCAAATAATTTTAAAATGTGATGATGTACACAACAATAATTAGTACCTAGTTTAGAGGATTTTTTCGCGCTTGTTTGTAAACAACGCGCGGCATTGTGGGAAATTGGAAGGTACTAAAGACGCGATGTACTAAACACTGATTTGACCTGATTCAAATTTGTCTGTAAATGTTCCAAACAATTGAATTTTTGTATAGCATATGCCTCGAAGTAATAAAGTCTGTACATAAGTAATTCAAAATACTCAATATTACCATTTAATTAAAAATTAAAACGTCAGGTAAATATCAGGTCTCTAGTATATCCCGTTTTTAGTGTGCCCCTTCGAGTCGACGTCGGACAGATGTTTGCCATGGTTTACAAACTGAAAATAGAATGATTTGTGAAGTTGAACATTTTCTCACAAAGAATCCGTTTGTAGACATGCACACTCATTTAATCTGCAGCTACGAAGTACTTTGTCACTTCTCTGTAACATTATTCTAAGCAGAATTATCCCGATTCATATATTCTAAGAATCTTGTGTGAATTGTTTACGAGGAAATTCTGACTGTCACATTAACAAGGATGAACACTCTTGACTCTGCTTCGGATTTCCCAGTGATAATTGTATCGAGTGATGAAAGAGCTGACGGCGACATTTTAATGTATGATTGGCTTGGACCATTGGAATGAAGGTTAGAATATTTTTATTACTTAAAATTTACACTACTGATTACATGACAGTGACATACATTGATGTTATTAGAAATACACAGACACACCGATATATTATCTGTTTTACAGTTCAGACGCTCTCTGTTTGCCTTGTAAATCCCTACAGCTTTATATTTTATTTGAGGCCAAACAAAAAAATATCTTTGTTTACTGTTACATGCTGAAATAAAATAGGGTCGGTAGGTAGGAATTTTTTTTTATTTTATTGAATTTTTTTATACACAAATTCACATGAATTGGTTGAATTACAAAACAATTTTACCATTGTATGGTGCTTTACTTTTGTTTGGCTTGAAATATGGGTGGTTTCTTGCCAACTGCCTTACAACTCAGGGGTGTGCAACTTAAAAAATCAAGTACTAGCCCACAGGCTTGTACATGTAACAGCAATAAAGTTACTAGCCCGAAGTTAAAAGTGAGCAGCCCAAATATAGGGGTAAAAAATTGTATAAACAAATATAATTGTAAAAAGTTCATTGTTGAGAAAGTCAGGGTCCTAAGCCATCCCTTTTAAAGATTGAAGAAATTATATTATCTTTTCTTTTCTGAACATATTGTACTAGCAGTGTAGCTTATCTAAAATGAAGCAAAATCATTTTATTTTCATTTCAAACCATTAAATTCAATTGATATATATTAAAGTTTAACCACATAACACTTAGCTATTTAGTTGATTGGGGGACCGTAATAATGGAAAGAGATACCTGTATGTATTTACCAATAACAGAGGAATGGGGGAAATTCGGATTAGGAAAAAACGATCGTTTTTTGAAGTAAATAAGTCAGGTAGTACTTCAAAATGGATAAGGTTAAAGTAATCTAAGTACAGTTGGAGCATGCTGCCTGGAAAATTTTCATTAGTTGGAAATTAAATAGTAAAACAATGAGGGAAAATACCGTTTGTATTTCTCTTGTATTATATGCATAATTCTAATTTTTACTACCCCAAACACGGTAGCACTGGGCATCAGGCGATGCTAGTTGCACACTACTGCAACTGCCACGCAATGGTAAGCAAATTGCAACAAACTCGTTGGTGTAGAAATTGAACTCGCTGGTTTTGTTTTTGTACTTTCAATTTCGATTTCAAAGATGAATGTAAAAGTTAAACTGACCGCGGCCAGAAACTTCCGGATTTTTACGACGAAAAAAAAGTTTGGGTCGGCGATGAAAATTAGGGTCGGTCGGGTAACCGTATAAACAAACATATTTTTTGTTACGCCTGATGTAATTTCAACAGCCCTACTATCTATCATAGTGATCATACTCTATAATTCAAACTGCACTTAATGTTTCAGAATATATTCAACTAATTATATATTGACAGTGTGACTGTAAGGGTGAGGGCAGATACTTATTTAGTTTTAATTTAGATTGTGCTTGTCAAGCCGCATTTGACATTTGGTGCATCCATGCTCAGTGTTCACACTGAGAGTTTATTCAAATGTTTAATACGAATGAATTCACTGCTCGTTAAATTACTTCCCATTAGCTCCATGGGAACATGAGTAAGGATAGCTAATTCAAATTCAATAGACATGAATTTTGAATGTAGCTTAAACATTATAAAGAAGCTAAGCACTGTGGGTCCAAAGTATACTGCGGAAAAATTCTGTGGAGCAATGTGCAAGTCACAATCTTCTTTTGCCAAGGTGTTATCATAAGAGCTCGCATTATGGGCAGGGATTTGTGCTGCTGTCTGGACTCGCTATAAATAGATGTTCTCAAAAAGTCTTAATTATTTAATATCATACTTTTCTGACAAAAAAGGACAAATATTGCTCAGTTAAATTGCAAAAGAAATTTGTTTAAAAAAATTGTAATAATAGAAAGTTTGCTTTTTTGTTTGATAAGACTGCTGTAATGGTTTAATGTTTGTTTATTTGCCTTAATCATACATTTTTTCAGTCATTTCATGGTGCCACCACTTGGGATGGTATTAACTGCAAATATAGACTTGTACTCAGCACTTATTGCCTTTAAGAAGTATGAGATCCATTTTGTGCTAACACCTACCGTGACACAGAATCTTGGTTTATGCAGTCTCATTGGAGTAACCTGTCTAAAGCATTTAGCAATGGGATTGGAACCTGCGATGTAAGGTTCAGCTTCTTATTGATACTTTGATTTATAATATTTATTTGAGAATTTCACTCATTCACATACTTAGAGATGTTGATATATATTGTTGAATAGCATCAATTTAGACCTTTACTTAGCTAAGTAAACATGTACTGTGAGGTTTTTAAGGTCTCATTCATTTTATATGCCAGATGCGTGTTAGGGAACATTACTGCATAAATGTTTTTGTCTTAAATTTGAAGCTCTTTACTAATATAGAGATATGTTAGTGTTAAACCTCTTCAAATTAGGGTAGACCTTTACTTTATACCCAGCAATGTGAGTGTGTTGTGTGAACTTGTGTTAGCGAGACAGTGTGTTGTATGAATTTGTGTTAGCAAGGCAGTGTGTTTTGTGAACTTAATTGTGTTAGCCTGACAGTGGGTTGTGTGAATTCTTGTTAGCTTGACGATGTGTTGTGTAAACTCGTGTTAGCAGGACAGCGTGTTGTGTGAAATCATGTATAAAGTGTAAGTGTGACAGTGTGTTGTGTAAACTCGTGTAAGCTAGACAGAGTGTTGATTGAACTCGTATTAGCGAGACTTCGTGTTGTGTAAACTTGTGTTAGTGAGACTGCGTGTTGTGTAAACTCGTGTTAGCGAGACTGCGTGTTGTGTGAACTCATGTTAGCAAGACAGCGTGTTGTGTGAACTCTTATTAACGAGACAGCATGTTGTGTGAATTTGTGTTAGCGTGACAGTGTGTTGTGTGAACTTGTTATCCTGAAAAGAACTATATGCGGCATATTGCATATATTTGCCCCCACAAAAGTCAAATTTTGAAAACTTCCTGAAATGTGTTGATTTTAATAAATTGTATGAGAAATATAAATTAACAGAAAATATTATAGTGTCAAAGCAGTGTATTCACAATTTTTGTTTTTATGACGTCACAAACTAGTCCGATTTTATATTCTTTTTCAGAAAGAGGACAAAATGGACAAAATTTCAACAAATTTTGCTTTAAAATTTATAGAGCGCAAGTTTGTTCAGGAACAATATTAACATATTTCATTGATATTATCATTCCACACATTATATCAAAATATTGATCCTGAACACACATGCGCTCGGTGAATTTTACTCAAAATATCGACGAAATATGTACATTTTTCTGTAAACTTCATGAAAAGGTGAAATTTACGTCATGTTTGTGACGTCATTACGTACATATGGCGTCATTACTTATGAAAATATTCAGTGCTTTGAAGTAAGCATATATTCCCCTGTTTAAGAACTTAATTAAATATATCTCCATCAAAGTTTGATTTTGGGGGCAAATATTGGTTATTACCGAATAAAGTTCTTTGTCATGTGAACTGGTGTTAGAGAGATAGTGTGTTGTGTGAACTCGTGTTAGCGAGATTGCATATTGTGTGAACTCGTGTTAGTCAGACTGCGTGTTATGTGAACTCGTGTTAGCGATATTGCATGTTTTTAACTCTACTGGTCAGAGGCCAGAAGAGCTTATGCGATAGTAATGCGTCCGTCGTCCGTCCGTCTGTCTGTCTGTCTGTCTGTCTGTCTGTCTGTCTGTCCGTCTGTCTGTCTGTAAACAATTTTTCAAAATGCTACTCCTCCTACAGTTTTGGCTTGATTTCAATATAACTTGGCACACAAGTAGACTACACTAAGATACATAATTCTGTTTATCAGTTTTTGATTTCGATGAACGGTGTTGCCATGGTTACTAAAAATAGAAATTTTTGTGAAATTCTTTCAAAATGCTACTCCTCCTACAGTTTTGGTCTGATTTCAATATAACTTAGCACACAAGTAAACTACACAAGGATACATAATTTTGTGTATCGGATTTTGATTTGGCTGAAAGGTGTTACCGTGGTTACTAAAAATAGAAATTTATATGAAATTCTTTCAAAATGCTCCTACAGTTTTGGTCTGATTTCAATATAACTCGGCAAACAAGTACTTTACACTAAGATAGATAATTCTGTGTACCGGTTTTTGATTTCAATTGAACGATCTTTCCGTGGTTACTAAAAATAGAAATCTGTGAAAATCTTTCAAAATGCTACTCCTCCTACAGTTTTGGTCTGATTTCAATATAACTTGGCAAACTAGTAGTCTACACTAAGATACATGATTCTCTGTATCGGTTTTTGATTTCGATGAATGGTGTTGCAGTGGTTACTAAAAATAGAAATTTTTAAGAAATTCTTTCAAAATGCTACTCCTCCTACAGTTTTGGTATGATTTCAATATAACTTGGCAAGCAAGTAGTTTACACTGAGATACATAATTCTGGGTATCGCATTTTGATTTCGATGAACCGTGTTGCCATGGTTACTAAAAATAGAAATTTCTATGAAATTCTTTCAAAATGCTACTCCTCCTATAGTTTAGTCTGATTTCAATATAACTTGGCACATAAGTAGACTACACTAAGATACATAATTATGTATATTAGTTTTTCACTTCAATGAATAGTGTTGCCATGGTTACTAAAAATAGAAATTTCTGTTAAATACTCTCAAAATGCTACTCCAAATACAGTTTTAGTCTGATTATAATATAAAGTGGCATGCAAGTAGATAATAATAAGAACATAAAAAGACTTAATCAAGGATCTTTATTATATTTATTGCAATTGAAAAGTTTCAGTTTCAATTTCCAACTGCTTTAGTGTCGACAGAGACTTCTGGTTTGAATTTGTGTTAGCGTGACAGTGTGTTGTGTGAACTCGTGTTAGCGTGACAGTGTGTTGTGTGAAATGGTATTAGGATGACAGTGTGTTGTGTGAAATGGTATTAGGATGACAGTGTGTTATCGCAACAGCGTTTGGTGCGAACTTGTGTTAGTGAATAGTGAGACAGCCTGTTTTGTGAATTCGTGTTAGCGTGACAGTGTGTTGTGTGAACTCGAGTTAGCCCGACAGTGTGTTGCTTGAAATGGTATTAGAATGACAGTGTGTTGTGTGAAATGGTATTAGGATGACAGTGTGTTATCGCAACAGCATTTGGTGCGAACTTGTGTTAGTGAATAGTGAGACAGCCTGTTTTGTGACTTTGTGTTAGCATGACAGTGTATTGTGTAAACTCGTGTTTGCGTGACAGTGTATTGTGTAAACCTGTGTTAGGGAGACTGCATGTTGTGTAAACTAATGTTAACAAGACAGTGTGTTGTGTGAATTCATCTAAGTGTGACAGTGTGTTGCGTGTACTTGTGTTAGCTAGACAGTGTGTTGTATGAACTCGTATTAGCGAGACTGCGTGTTGTGTAAAACTTGTGTTAGCGAGACAGCGTGTTGTGTGAACTTGTGTTAGCGAGACAGCGTGTTTGTGAATTCGTGTTAGCATGATAGTGTGTTGTGTGAACTCGTGTTAGCCTGATATTTTTTTGTGTGAAATTGTATTAGCGTGACAGTGTGTTGTGTGTTAGTGTGACAGCGTGTGGTGCGAACTTGTGTTAGTGCGAAAGTGTTTTTCAGTGATGTGATGGCGAGCTGTGTGATAGCCTAATGGCGTCTTTTGTGTCGGTAAGATGGCACGCTTTTATGAAAGTGCTATTGAGCTTTAGCAAGTGGCCCTATCTGGACACGCCTTATTATAATTGATCAGTTCTCAGATATACAGTGAATTACCGGTATTATTGTCACCATGAAATCAGCATTTACAGTTGCAATTTAACCTAGTTAGTAATCATAAGATATTGGTTTGCCAGTTTTAAAATTATGGTGTTCCAATGATGTGAAGTTGCAGTGTGTTAGCATGTTAATTTCAACAGACTGCCACTCCAATGCAGCTTTAAACAACACGCTGCTGTGTTAACACAAAACAAAATATCATGCAAACACAACTCTAAACAATCTGTTGAGTGTTAGCTTCACTGCATGTTGGATTCAGTGTGCTGGCATATTATCACTGACGTACATGCTAGCACATTGTCACCTCGTGCTAGTATGTTGTCATAAATACTCTAGCACATTATCCTAAACCCACTAGTGCATGATTACTTTGCACTTGTATGTTGTCTTATAAGGGGATAGCATAAATGACTGCCTTAATTGGTGTAAACTTCTTTTAATTGATGAAAGAGTACATTAAAATTTACAAATTATACACAGAAAATGTGACAATATGTTATCTCTCAATTTGATAATCTAATTTATAATCTCATGAATTGCACTTTTTATTAGTAAAAGAATTATAAATTAAAAAATTTCAATTTCTTTTGGATAGGTGTGACTCATCTGAATACTGAATTTTGATACCAAGCATGACCATGATTTGCCAGAAGATCATCTGTTTGGATGTGACATGGAATAAACAGCATAGTGAAAATAAGTCAAGTTTTGGTTTGTGAAGACAATTTTTAAACACACTGTGTATCATTTTTTAAATTTTGATTTGACAAAATAAATCCACAAATATGAACATATCAATTGCTCTCAGTTTTTCAAGTGAAATAGTTTTTGTAACTGTACAGAAATACATGTACCAGTAATTACATTGGAATAAATGTTATTTTTAAATATAATAATATTTTGTTTGTGTAGCATGTTGACCTCTTTATTAAGGTCTTCCCTTTCAAAGTTTAGACTTACTTATTCTAATGATTAAGATAGATCCTCTGTCTTCAGCAGGAATATAAGATCTTGTAATACATGTATGTGTATTTTTTTACAGTATAATGTAAAAACAATTGTTATTTTGGCACATACAACTAATTAAAGGCATAAACATGTGTATGATTCCAAGGAATTCAGTACATAGGGCATGTACATGTAGTTTTCTAAAACAAGATTGAAGAGATGTCCAGTCGCATTTCAATGTCAACTGCAAAACTGTGCCTGTTGCATACTTATTAGCCCATCTGAGCTAAAGGAACCAGTAAATTTTTTAAAAACATAATTTTATCCATTATCATTATTGTCTAAAATTTCACAATATCATTTTCCAGAACCAAAGTGAAACTTGGCACAGAGCATCCTTAGTGTAGGGGATTCAAATTGTTCTTATGCAGGGCAATACCTTAAAAGAGATTTGTTTCTTTAATGCTGTAAATGTATTATATTTAGCTTGTACAATATTTGGTGGAAATTGACTTTTGAATAAGTTAGCGTAGATATTCTTATTTATGTTTATGTACAAGACTTTTAGCTTTGTACTTGATTTAGTGATTGCTGCATTCCGTCAAAGCCGCTAAAAAAGAAAACACAGCCATATGTAATATGTTTACAAGATACCTTTCAGAGAATTTTACACTCCTATTGAGGTACCACCAGTTGCTAGTGGAAAGCTGCAAATTCGAAACATACACAACACATTTCTGTGCGTTTATTATAAAAGTATTGTTCTACTTAACTGATTGCAACTAATGAAGATTGTTCATCATTATTGTAAATACATTTGGATTTTTTGAATTATTATATAATTTGTTTATTTTATTTACCTAGTTATATTGTATATTAAATGATTTTAAAGCCATTTTTAAGATGGTAATGTAGCAAAACACTTATGTTTCTGTAGTATGACACGTTTCACAAACATAATTGCAACAAACATGATATATCCGATATCAAAAGTCATAATATTGGAAGTTAAACTGTTGTGGATACGATTTCAAGAATGCTGTTAGAGAGAGTACCCTTTAGACCTCATGCTCACACCAAATTAAAGAATTCAAGTAAGGGTACCAAATTAAAGAATTCAAGTAAGGGTTTTTGAGACAAATCGAAAAAGAGAATGTTAGCAAAGTTGACAATCTAGACAGAAACATTTAATCTTTTGCTTATCGCTAGGAAGGTAGACCCACTCGTTGCTTTGCAACGAGCTTTGCTCTAGTTATTATTATTATTTATTATTATTAATTTAAAATAATAAATATTAAGGAATTGTAAACTTTTTATATAATATTTTTTTAAGGTTCACCTTTCTGCAACCATCTTTTTCACTTTTTACAACTTTTTGTCACTTTAAATACAACTATCGTGAAACTCGTGAAAACCATTGCAAAAAATACGAAAAGTTTATACATGTGTAAATACATAACTAAGGAACTACATTTTTCTCTCGTAAATTTTCTTTGTCAAGTGTTTTGAAATCCTTTTCTTATGCACATTATTTGTAAAGCCAGGTGATTGATGAATGCAAACTTACCAGGCTAAATTTTGGTTCCACAGTTATATCGGGTTGTCTTCCATGCAAACGTACATTTGTAACTATAAAGTCTAGACCCTACATTGTGACACCGTTTTTATCTGGGCAACTTTTGATTGTTTGGAGACAGAAATATGCCACGTCACGACATATATATATTTAGATCGGGTACGATGATTATTGTGTGTTGACATTTAAATGTTTTGTTTCTAAAGTGCTTTGCTTGTGTCTCTGGTTTCAGAACATCTTCATCCAAGGATTAATATTCAGGCTCGTCAAATACGATGGAGTGGGTGAAAGGGGGGGGGGGGGGGGGGGGGTTCAGGTCCCACCCCAATTTATTTTATTGATTCTAGTCTCTTCCTGCATGTAGTTTTAATACGTAAATTTGTTTTTTATATGCTGGTTACAAGAAGACATTTCAATATATATATGTTACATTAAAGTTTTGCAATTTAAGAAATTCAAAACTATCTATAACAAGATTGTTTTAGATAGTTTTGAATTTCTGAAATTGCAGAACTTTAATGTAACATATATACATGTACAATTTAAACATTATTTCACAAAAGAATGTTTTTTTTAGAAATAGTTATTTAAGTTTATATTAGACTACTCATGCTACTATGCATTCAATGTAATTGATCATAGACAATACCATTGTCAAGTGTCCAATGCCCATGATCAAAAGAAAAGTGTGTTATATGTTTATATAAGTATTTTTTTTAATTTAATGTTTTTTTAATTATCAATATAATTGTTTTAGAAATAGATTTCAAGAAACATTCATGCATGTACATGATGAGAGATGTCTTTATACATTCAATGTTCTTGTACTATTTTCACAAATAAATTTGCAAGCAAGCATAAACTTAGTTTTCATTTTTTTTAATATACCATGGCTGTTTTTCCGTAAGTGTCAAAGAAGAGAAATTTTTTAAATTGATTGTTTAAATTATGTAGAAGCATTATTTCCATATTTATATATCGGTACCATTAAAATAACAAAAACAAAAGAAATGCGTCCCTGGGTGGGCTCGAACCACCAACCTTTCGGTTAACAGCCGAACGCGCTAACCGATTGCGCCACAGAGACACTTGATAACTGGGCCTTCTTAATAACAAACAGTATTAACTCATCTTTGGAAGTTTCACGAAAAAAAGACAAATTCTCTAATTATCGCAATAATATTCACAATATTTTATATCTCAGTTAAAAGTTATTCATATTACATCTTGTAATTAAAATTCACAAGCAAATTTTGATTTAACCAGCATTTATCATTTGATGTAGCACGTGTCAGGATGGCCGAGCGGTCTAAGGCGCCAGACTCAAGAGCGATAACTCTTCATTCTCACAAGCGAGAGTGCGAGTGTTCTGGTCCACGAATGTGGGCGTGGGTTCGAATCCCACTTCTGACAAACTCTTTTTCTCCATTTTTCTAATTTTTTTCCTACTTCCTGATTAACAGTTGCTTCTATAGTCAATAATAAATTATATCTCATATTCTGAAAAATAAAATTGTATTTTTATTCTTAACCATGACCTAACAAAACACACAAAGAAATAAATTAAGAAGGAAAAAAAATCATGCAGTTGGAGTATCATTTCAACTTAGACTTCGGGAGGAAACAGGACTTTTTGTAGCAAATAAATAACATTACAAATAATGAACAAGATTTTGTCAAATAAAAAACCTAAGACCAGATCAGCAAAACTGTAAACCATGACAACTTCATCCCAATGATAGATATTTTCATTTCGAAAGTATTTCATTCTAATGTAAATTTCATGTTCATATCGATCTGGTACCCTGTTTCTTATACAATTTATAATTAAACGTTCATTCATTTTGAACACTGTCTATACTAATACATGTATATAAATGCCTTGATTTAATAACCCAGTAAAATAATTTTAATTTTTTTTTCATAGTTCCCTATTTACAATAGCTGTGGCACTTGAATGACATTTTGAAAAATTCTCTTTCCAATGATAAAAAAAAAAATCATTTTTAAACTTTACTTTAAATTGTCTAAAATCATGTTATCATAATAGCATAATTTTTAAAAAAGATATTAACCATTTCAAATGTCAAGTGCCTGTCATTTACATTGATTGTATATATTTTTTTAAAATAAATAATAATTTCATGTAATAAATACATGACATCTTAGATAGCAGATGTCATATTATTGAAAACAGAACAACGTCCAACTATTTTACATGGTACACTTTGGTGAGATTTTATTAAAATAATAAAAATAAATATATTTGTTAGATTTAGGCCATTCCAAGTTTTTTCTCTGTTTAGACTCCATCTTTCAAAAACCTATATCTACCTATTCGCAAAAAACACACAAGCCAAAACATAAAACACAGGCTTAAAAGTCATAAAAATGATGCCCTTCAAATGATTTGATCTAACTAATTTGATTTAATACATAATGTAGAAGAAATATCTGTTCTTCAGCAAAAGCAAGGGATTAAATGCTTTAAATACACCTAATATAACTTACTGTACAGAAGTACTTGGAGAAATTGACAAAATTTAAAAAAATTCGACTTAATTAATCAATTTCAGGACTCCTGATCTTGTGTGTTTTTTTTCTTTTATGGGGTTTCAAAATCCAAGGCGCACGCGGACGCTAAACATAGAAAAAACTTGGAATGGCCTTAACAAATAAACAAATTATTATACATGTATATGCATCATATACTTCATTCATGATTTATTTTAAGCAAATACATGGAATTTAAAACTAAACACTTGTATAGGTACTTGTATGAATAAAATGAATGTGAGAAAATTTAAATTTTCTCTATCTTTGTGTATTTCCCTATCCATTCAGCCCTACAAAAAAAAGACGTGTGTGAACCAATGCTCATTAACTGTTCCTATGTTAGCTGCAGATCTGCAGCGTTATGGTTTATATATTTGTCTTTGACCATAACGCTGTTAAGGGCCGTCGATCTGCTCAGTGCAAGCATCAATTAGCCTTTACAAGCACCTGTCTCATTGGCTCTGGGCTGTCCTAGGAGTTTTTAACTACTGTGTAGTGTATTGGAGAAGTGAGACGGTGACAGATACTTCCAACATTGCTGACCTCATAACTAATATAGCAGCCTTCATAAGGCTCATCATCTATAGATATTGCCTTCTCTGCAAACATCCTGTTGATCTCACGTAACAATTCCAATAAATTCACCTGAGATCCATCACTCAGTAACTTTACTCTGTCCCAAAATAAGTTGGCCAAATGACAACGATACGAGTATTTTCCTGTAAAAATTAATAATCATCATTATATTCAGTATGTATTTACTTATTTAAAATCCAAAGGATTTTGAAGAAGAATCAATATCTACAAGACATGTTTATAAAACTCACTATATGTACTAAGGTTTAAATTTTCAAAAGTAGGTCAAACTCTACATCAAGGACAAGCTCAACCATTCAAAATTTATGGCTAAGTTTATTTAATTAAGCTTAAATTTATGTAGGTCGTAGCACAAATTCAAAGGTCAAGATTTAAATATATACTGTATTTATATGTATTTTGATATTAAAAGAAAGTTCTTGTCACATAGAGAACACGCGAAATATTACAGGCTAATCACCTTTTGTTTTAAAGTTATTTACAAGGCTTTCTATTTTTAAAAGGTTAAACTCTCTGATCAAGGTCAAAAGTTTGAAAATGTTGATATCCACAGTAAGTTCTTGCTCAAGGAATACTCAAGTAAAAACACTAGCACCAATCTTTCTTTGCAAAAGTGGGGGATACTCCAAGGTCAAAAGGTTGCTTGTTAAAGATAAATGTGCAATATGAAAGCCCTGGCACCAACCATTTAAAAATTATGACCAAAGATTATTTTTTTACAGATGGACAACTAAAGGACAAACCCAATACAGACACCACTTCAAAACTGAAACCCAACAGTTTATAAGGCTAGAATCCCCTATCTGTGTCAGTGTACATGATGGACAAGAGAAGACAAGATTCCTGCTTACCTGATGGTGACGCAAACATGGTGACACAGTTTGATATACATGGTACTAGGCAGTGAAGTGAGTTTTCTGAAGAAAAAAATCAATTTCAGCCATTATAACACAATTTTATAGATAAACTTGTTTTTTTAAATATTCAATAGAATTAAGATAAAACTATAACATTACAGTTGTCCCTAGAAGGTTTGAAATTCTAAGACGTTATGTTACTATATTGATTACTAGAAAACTGACAAATCAGCAAAGGGCTCTGCAGCTTTAACTTTGAACCAGATGCCAAAGAGAACCAAACTTAGCATCAAAATATGTCTTACTACTTATTCAACCAAAATATCAAATTTGAAATTAATTGGTAAACCATAAAAAATAGTATTAGAAAAAAAAGAAGAAAATTTGTGGATGCAAGAATGAGTCAGACAGACAAATGAACAGCCAGAGAGACAGAGTGATTATAAGGGCACCCAAAAATCCAAGTAGGCCCCAGCCCTACACTTAATTCTGACATTTGCTAACCAGGCAGGGAATGGTGGATATCATCTCCTCCCGTCAGCTGTATCTGGTATTCCTCATCCTGGTCCTCAGTAATTTGTATCTGTACACCAGGGTCCTCCTTCTCTCTCTCATTCTCACAATCATCCCGATCTCGACAGGCCTAATAAATAATCCGAAAGAAAGTACAAAAATTAGAACACAATAATGGTTACTGATGATAAAACTCACCTAATCCAACAAAAGTGTATGAAAATTGTACAGTTTGGACAACATTTTAAACAATTGAAAGGGACTTTAAGTTTACATCACATTATACGCAAGATAATGGAAATACGTGTATGGCATGCCAAATTTATAAAAATGAGCTAAACATAGTTTCAAAGTTGATAAATAGGTTTATCGACTGTAAACTATAGTTTACAAACTGTAAACTATAGGCTAGTTAACAATTCATTAAGAATAGTTTTCAACTGTAAAACTATATTTAACAGTTGTTAACTATAGTTTACGAAAGCTAATCTAAGTTTATCTGTCTGTAATAAAACGTTAACAACAGATTTTGCTGATAAACATAGATTCACATCTGTAAACTATAATTTACAATCGTGAACTATAGTTAAAAGTTGTTAATCATAGTTTCACAAATCGTGAAACTGTATTTATCAGATTGTTAACTATAGTTAAAAGTTGACTTGTAAACCATAGTTTACAAATCGTGAAACTGTATTTATCAGATAATCTATGTTTTGCAATGGCAAATGATGTTTTCAGTGTTAAGTATAGTTTAGGGTTCTGAAACATAGATAATCATGTTAACTTAACTATGGTTTACAGATGTAAGATATAGATTAACTTTGTTAACTATAGTTTACAGTCTGTAAACTTTAGTTTACAACCGATAAACCTAGTTTATCGACTGTCAAATTATGTTTAGCTCATTTTTGTGATTTTGGCTTGTCATATGTACGTAACATTTAGATTAGACTAGTTTCACTTTACCTTAAAACAATGTGGCTTGTTTTAAGAATTAAATCTTAAATCAGATATATCTGACAAAATTGCAGATCCAAAATTTGAAGGGAAAAAAGGGGAAAGACAACAAGCTTTACACAATCATTTTGAATAAATAAAAAGGTCCACTTCATGCTGTATGTGTCAAGGAAAAAAATAATCTAGTACATGTACTACAGAAATGTCATTAGAGGGGAATATCCCTTTAACAGAGATTTATTTAACATAAATTTAAACTATTCTAAAATATACATAAATCTCAGGTGAAAAATTTGCCTAATTTCCGTCTCCTATTTCATTCATTTCATTTTTTTTATATTACAGTAGATATCTGAGATACCGAGACTAAGATCAATTTGTTGACTTTTGGTAATTCCCTGTCCAGTGGATTAAAGAGGACCTTCTGAGTGGACACATCATCATCATCATAGAAACACAGCTCATGTTCGTAATGGCCTTCTGTCCTAGCCTCCCCTCCATGTGTAGAAATAAACACAGCAAAATGTCGGTATCCCTGGTTCTTCACATGATTTATGGCTGTAGTAATGAACAAATGGGAATTCTTTGATAAATTTTCATTTACAAGTGTCAGCTACAGCAGCTGTACAGTTCTGGAGCCAAATTGTATGTGCTTAATAGCGAGCCCAGCGAGCGTCGCAAAGCGACGCTCGTAACTGCGAGCTCTAACGACAACACCTGGGCGAAGAGAAAATTCGGACTACTGCACATTCATTCTTTAGAATTTTTTGCCGCAGTAATTTTGACCCACAGTGCATCACTTAGTAAAGTTGCGTTCTCGCGAGAATGACGGCAAATGTTCAACAAAAAGTTTACTCACCTTGATTAAATGGATAAAAATTGAAGATAAATAGTAAACGTAACTTTTTTCATTAACTTCGATCAGCACTGTTCAGTTTTTTCTTGGTATTTGTAACTTACATACGACGTCATGTGACGTCAGAGTCTAGACGCACCAAATGTCATGTGCGGTTTGACGAGCCCGATCTAAATTAAAACAATAGAAGAGTTTGCGCTCGCTCTAACGGTCGCACCGTCAACATATTAATTTGAAACTTATTGATAATAATTCAAATGCCTAATAATAATAATAATCACCCTTGTCAAGTTCCTCTTGGAATCGGTGTTTAGTAACGTACTCAGTCTTAGCACCAGCCTCCATTGCCAAAGGCGTTGGTTCTTCCTCCGTGACTATCTTGGTTTCGAATCCCAACCGTCTAAAGGCTGCTCTGGCGTTCGTTTGATCAGAAATAGCATCTTCTCTGCTATTTTGTCCTTCAAAATATTTAACAGTTACAATCAAAGCATATCCTATAGGAGTAACCTGATCTGTCATTCCTAAATGTCGAATCACATCGAGTTTTAAAGACTCAAATGACAAATCGAAACCAAAAGCTAACAAAATTCAAAATTCCCTCGATCCTTAGGTCACTATTTCTAAAATCCCGATCCCGAACTTTTTCTTAAATCGACTAAGATTCCCGTAAATAACATAAATCATAGACCTCAAGTAGACACTGGCAATAATGCTTTGACTTTCATTAGCAAATGGAAAAAACTTCAGAAATCGCTTGATTTCTAAGCAATTTTTCAATTCAATTCAAATTCAATACTTTATTTGCACTAAAGCACATATTATACAGAAATGTGTTGTTAGCCGTATAATACAAAATATTAAACATATGTAAGCTTGTTTCTGATATTAAAACAGTCTCTGATATATTGACAGATTTGTTTTGTAGATACAAAGTTATTTGGATTAATTAGCAAACAAGATAAGGTATTAACATCTAGTAACCTTGAATACTTACTTCTGACATTTTTACACACAGGACAATCAAGTAAAAAGTGTTTTTCATCTTCAACAATAGTTTTACATTGGAAACAAAATCTCTAGGAATGACAGGATTACAATATCTACCTGTTTCTACATACAACTTATGTGCACTTATTCTTAACTTGGAAAGATAAGAAAATAAATTCTTATGAAGTGGAAAACACAAGTATGGTTGGATTTCCAGTTTCTTAAGGGGGATGTACGGCCACCTTTAGTGTAGCGAGAACAAAATGTAAACATTTCTTCAAATGGCTAAAATACATTATATTTTGATCAAATTTTATGTCCTTATGATAAAGATACAATAAATATGCATAACTGAATGCATGTTGTGCATATATAATCTATACTTTTGCAGAAAAATGCTTTTGAAATGCTCCTTAGAACTGCGCAGCTGCAGAATTCAGCAGAGCCTTAAAAAATCCCAAAAAATACGCAAACTGTGCATTAATGTTCTCTCTACAACCATTTGTTGAGATAATGTCTAAATTTTGCACTTTTAAATGATAATTTCAAGTTCAAAACAAGGTATCGTTGTCTTCTAAAAGAGTGGAAAGAACCATGAAAGTAGTTCATGGATAGCAGCACGTGGTCTATTTTTAGCACAGAATTTTGTTTTCCAGACCTCATCTTAATATGGAGGGACATAACAATCTTTAAATGTAGAAGAGAATTACAGTATCAAATAGTATGAACTCTTTTAAAAGAGGATATGTGTTATAGTGTGGCTTGAAGTAATTTATTAAGTTTTATTATCGAACAGTTGTCAAATAGTGTACGTATTGATATAAAAGAAAAAATCTTATACTCTTTGATTCATGGTAAGGAAAAATGAGTACCATCAAAGTTAAGAATTAAGAGTTTGTAAGTTTGCCACAGATAACATACTATCTATCAAAATTTTAATTATCACCAATGAAACACTAAGAAATTAAACACATAAAATCGATATGAATGACCTTGTTTTAGTACCTACTAGTACGAGGGGTGATCAAAAAGTTCGCGAACTATCTCTACAAAACCACAATTCAGATTAGAAACAAATTTGGTGCACACCTAGCCAGACACAAGTTCTATAAATAGCATATGCTGCATAAAGTTTTTCTTACAATGTGAAAATGATGTCATTATGCAGGTACTTGTGACGAAAAATGGTTGTGTCTGTGGAACTCGTTCAACAAACCACTTAAAAATATTTATGGTATATCTTAAACATGCCTTTGAAGTAGCGTATAAGAATTTGTTCACAGTTTATTAAGACAAATGACTTCCTCTATATTCAATCAATGATTGGATAGATCGTTTTAGTGAAGGAAGGCAGATGGTTAAATATGATATTTGTTATGTTGCCCGGTGAAAGAAAGTGTTTTTAATTAAGCAATATGCTATCAAAGACCTCCAATTTACACTTTGAAAAATACTTGAATATTTCAACAATAATATAACTATCAAATACCTAAGATATCGTTTATTTTTTTTATCACCCCTAGTATACTCTGTCAAATAAACATTTACAATTTTCATTACAGCGGAGCAACATTTGAAAAGGAATGAAATAATTCAAAGTAGGTTAGGAGATTTAATGAATAAAAAAAACTTTCTTACTTTCTTCTATTTGCCCTACCCCGTGGGGATCCGGGTTAGAATAGGTCCTCAGTACCCCCTTGCTTGTCGTAAAAGGCGACTAAATGGGGCGGTCCTTCGGATGAGACCGTATAAACCGAGACCCCATGTCACAGCAGGTGTGGCACGATAAAGATCCCTCCCTGCTCAAAGGCCCTGAGTGCCGAGCATAGGCCTAAATTTGCAGCCCTTCACCGGCAATGGTGACGTCTCCATATCAGTGAAATATTCTGGAGAGGGACGTTAAACAATATTCAATCAATCAATCTATTTGCCCTTTTTGTCAAAATTACAATTTTACAGAATATAAAAGAAAAAAATCAACATAATATAAATCTATACGAAAAAAAGTCTAACATTTTTAATGTTTTGCTGAGCGGACATGAAAAATCGATGTTGGACCGCTGAGTGAGATGTTGGACCGCTCGGTGAGATGTTGGACCGCTTACGTCACAGAATGGGCGGGGCTTAATCTCATTTTTATTTGTTGGTGTTAAAGCAGTGACGGACCTGATGTTACATCACGGAATACAGTACAAAATTCAAGTATATCAAAAAATAAAATAAAATGAAAGGTATAACAAAACATTTATTGACAGAGTTCTCAGGCAAAATGCGTTTTTTTTTTGGACCCTCGAACCGAACTGTCTGCCTTCGGTGTAACGGCCTCAGGCAGACAGTTTGGTTCTTGGGTTCGACAAAACGCATGTTGCCTTCGAACTCAGTCAATAAATGTATAATATTTTAAACCATCTTTAAAATGTTTGGTGGTCCTCTCAACTCAAGGAAAAATTATTGGGTCCGTATTTATAGGTAAGAAAAAATTCCTAAACATTTAAACATATTTGTTGACGGAAGAAAAAAAACATCGTGTAATGAGGTGTAAAACAAAATTGAGTCGGGGGCGCCATTTCTAGACAATAGATCGGGAGAGAGGGCAACCAAATATTTTTATAACAAATGGTCTTATATAGTTAGTACATGTTACATCACATATTTAGTAATGCAAAATTTTTTAATCTAAGCTTTAGCACTATTTTGAAAAACAAACGTAGGATTTTCGGGGGGGGGGGGGGTAGCCTCTCATTTTTCTTTTTGCAATGATAGACATAGCATATGCAATGGACCTTTCTTTGCAAACACTGTGCTTGCTTCTAAATTTCGAAGAAACAAATCAATATAGTTTATCAAGCTTCGTATGTTCGATGAGCGAGAGCTCACAACGTTGTCAACATAAGGAGACATGATGCGTTTTAATGTCCAAACATTACTCCATACAATGAATGGTTCATTGCAAACAATCTAGCTATTTATGTGAGGTGCCTGAAGGAAATCCTCTAACTGCCTATTTATTCTATCTAACTGCTAAACAAAATAGACATATGTACCAACTTTTCGAATGTAAGACATATAATTACAATTTGTTTTTCATGCACCGTATATTGTTTAACATTTTCAAATAAAATGCTAAGCATCCTCCTTGCAGTGCCCCATTTGAAAATAACTTCTATCGCCACAGAAAAAAAGACCCGCCGTAAACACATATGTTTAGGACATATTTTATCTTTTTTCTTGAGTTTTAAAAAAACCGACAAATTATCAAGACTTCTTCCATGAAAAATTAAATATAATAATAGTAATACACGCATCTATCCACAGCAGATTATGCACATGCCAACCACGTGCTCAGTGGAATGATATTATCGAGGAAATTCGAGATGTAAACAGAACAGTTTTTCCCGATTTGCTGGAGTGGGGTTAAAATCGCGTTTTTTCATTAATCAGACGATGCGATGCAACAAATAATAGTAGTAAGTAATATAACCTAATGATTATTACTTAGTTATATCTTGTCTTGATGTTATTATGGTCGTATTTATTCTAAAATCAATGTTATTCGATTTCTGTGTGACAGAGGAATGGCGGACGTAATAAACACATGGCCTCAGGAAGACACCCATATGAAAAATCAAATTTTCAAGAATTATTGATAATGACAAGAAAAAAGCAAAACAAATGATTGTAGCCATATTATCAATGAATCAAACTAACACCACTTTCTATGCATTTTTCATCTCGTGAATGCTGTAGCTGCGCAGTTCTAACATGATTAATTTCCTTCTAATTAAAACAAAATACACTTAATTATTTACTAATTTTGGTCTCTAACAGTAGGTAATCAGTGCATAAGCACTTTGAGTAACTTTGGGTTAGTTTAGTAGAGTATTAAGCACATTCTTGGTATTTCTTATTTTACACCAGACTAGATCTAATATGGCTTGTACATCCCCCTTAACATCATAGTTGAATAATGTACTATAAAATGACAGCTTGCCGCATTGAGTATTGTTAATGTGTTGGAGTTCAGAAAAAAATTATTTTCAAAGAAATTTTTAAGTTTAGTACTAATTAAAGTTTTAAAATCTGTGTCAAAGTTAAAATCTAACATCTTCTGTATTGATTTTATACAACTTTGCCAACATTTTTTTATTTTCACTTGCCAATCGAGTATCTTACAAGTAAGCATTCTTGAGTAAGACATTGCAATTATTATTTGATTTTGTTAATTTTTCCAATCTGGAATAATATCTAAAAACAAGCTGGTAAATTTTGGTATGTACAGGGAAAACACCTAATTCAATTTTTGTTGCTAAGTTTGATGCTTTAATATTTACATTCAGTGTAATTTTTCTTATGAAATCCATTAGAAATCCACGACGTTCAAATTTCTCTAACACACGGGAAACCTTGTCACCTCGCGATAGAATACACAGTCGGAACTATATGCATTTTCAATACTCTAGGAACACCAAAATGTAAAATGTTTTATTTCAATCGAATGAAAAACTATCAACCTGAAAATAAACGTAAAAATTAACGTAATATACGTTTCAAAGTAATTTGTCACTTTTTTCCTCGCAATGTTTGTTTGCGTTATTTAACTTTGCAACGTCATTTAACGTCATTTGACGTCACAATCAGCTCTTACATTAACCACGGCAGTTTTGAAGGGCAATAAAATCACATT